GCTCACAGGCTTTTAAGACCCCAGACACTACTCACCAAGGTAGAATGTAGCATTGTCTTTATAAGCTGTGTCATGCCAATTGAGCTAGATGTTCCCCGAGACCATGGTCCAGCAATGGGATTTTTTAAAATTATCTTTTTCTAACTTCTTGAATTGGACACATAACATTAATTTTTAGTCTTTTCTATTATTACTCTAAGAACAGCCAGTTTTCTCAGAGGGGTTCTTAAGGAGGGGACTGTATGCTGGCTCAGGCTGAAGGTGGGCCAAAGTTCATAGCCATAGGGAAGGAGAGAATCTTAACAAAAGTGTAGTTAACAAGCATTTTGTTCAAGCAGTTCAGCTAATCATTTATGAGGCAAATTATTGGAATTTGGAGGGTCTCTATCTGGCCTTGTTATAGGTAAACAAGGGGTCAGCCGTGGGTCTTATCTAAGTCATGTGGAAGACGGATTCTTTGCAGTAAGCTGTTTTCTGGAACACAAAGTGTGGGAGGATTTCTTTAATCATTGCTGTGTGCCAGGATCACAGGGTTCCATAGAATTCAACATTGTCAATATTTTCATTACTATTCCATTCTAAATATTAAAATTTTTTTCATTATGATTTCTTCTTTGACCTGTAAATTATTTGGAACTTTTTAAAATTTTCAAATGTTGTTTGTTATTTTTTTATATTGATTTCTAACTTAATTGCATTGTAATCAGAGAACATGGTCTATGATAGTATCAGTTCTTTACCAGTTGAAGCTTGCTATATATGACCTGTTTTGTGGTCAATTTTTGTAAGTGAGTTCTTGCAGAAAGAATTAGATGCAGGATTATTTATATATATATGTGTGTGTGTATGTAGATTAAGCTCAGTAATTGTGTTGTTCAAATTTTTGTGTCCTTATTAATATTTGGTCAACTTGACCAATCAATAATCAAAAAGGTATATTAAAATTTCCCACTACATAGGTGTGTTTGTCAGTTTCTTGTTGTAGTTCTGTTAATTCTTGTTTGAAATATTTTGAGGCTGTGTTATTCGGGGCATGGAAGTATAGAATTGTCACATATTCCTAGGAATTGTTCTTACTGTCATTATGTGGTGATTCTCTTAATTCCCTTAGATTCCCTTTGTCTAATATTGATAAAATAATGCAGATAATTTCCTACTAGTTCCCTGTCCTCGTCTCTCCCTCTTATAGTTCATTCTTCACATACAGTATTATTCTTCAAAAGAGTAAATCTTTACAAACTGTAAAAAGAAATTAGATCACTTAATTCTTATTGCCCATAGGACAAACTCTTCTACTACTTCCTGTTCCTCATGTACCCTCTCTTTTCAGGTATAGTAAATTCTCTGAATAAATATGATTTATTTATGTCTTTAAATCTTTTGTCATGATCTTTCTGCTTCAATTCTGCTTCTCTCTGCTTGGTGAACTCTGCCTCATCCCCTCTACCCCCAACTCAAGTGTTACCTTTGTAAACTGTTTCTCATTTTCCCCTAGATAGAATTAGTCAGTCCCCCTGTGTGTCTTCACTTCCTTTTTTACCTACTTTTTTTTTTAAATGGAGGTAAAATTTGTATTCAGTGAAATACGCAGATATTAAGAGAACAATTTGATGATTTTGATGAATTTATGCACCTCTGTAACTACCATTGTAATCAAGATATAGAACATTTCCATCAGCTCAGAAAGTTATCTTGTGCCCATTTCTAGTCAGTGCCCACCCCGCACAGATAACCTGTTTTTATTTCAATCTTCATAGAATAGCTTTGCCTGTTCTTAAACTTTATATAAATATATAAATGGAATCATACATTACAGACTCTTTATGTCTGACTTCTTTCACTCAACCAAATGTTTTTGAGATTTATCTATGTTGTGTTTCAGTAGTTCATTCTTTTTATTGCTGAGTAGTACTCCCTTGTCTGAATACACCACAATGTCTATCCATTCTATTGATGGGCATTTGTATCATTCTTAGTTTCAGGCTACTATGACTAAAGCTGCTGTAAACATTCTTGTACAAATCTTTTTGTGGGCATGTTTTCATTTCTCTTAAGTAAATATGTAAAGAGCCCTGGCGGTGCAGTGGTTAAGCACTTAGCTGCTAACTGAAAGGTCGGTGGTTCAAACCCACCAGCCACTCCATGGGAGAAAAATGTGGCAGTCTGCTTCTGTAAAGATTTACAGCCTTGGAAACCCTGTGGTACAGTTCTGCTCTGTTCTACAGGGTTACTGTGAGTTGACATCGACTCGACAGCAATGGGGTAAGTAAATACCTACTAGTGGAATGTTTGGTCATGGAGTAGGGAGGAGTATGCTTAACTTTAGAAGAAACTGCTAACAGTTTTCTAAATCTTTTACTTACTTTTAGTAGCATTTATCACAACAGATTGTGTTTATTGGTTTATGTCTGTCTCTCCTGTGGAGCTGATAGCGCCTCAAAGCTAGAACATATCTTAGTCTTTGCATTTGCCCCAATGCCTACTACAGTGTCTGGCACATACTTTGGTGCTCCATAAATGTTGAGCAAGTAACTGTAGTTCTTTATTTGCATTACTTTTATGAAATATATCACATTCTGTCTTACTGGTTGTGTTCATCTTTCTTCTCTAGTAGATTACAAGCTTCTCAGTGTGTAGGAACTTGTTTTATTCTTGTTTGTATTCCTCAGAATGTCTATCATGTGGTTTTGAAAATTACTTGTGTATGAACGAATAGATGAACTTGTCACCCTGAAGGTGAAGACCCTGGGACAGAAGAACAAGAGAAGTTTATCTTCTGTTTCTTCTGCTTGAGAAGAAGGAGAGAAAGAAAAGACAGAGCTTCTGTTACAGCCATTGCCCAAATTTTAGGCGGTTTTGGGGGGGAGGGTCACTGAGACTTTTAGCCTGGGAAAAACATTTTGTACCACCATGCATTGCCGAGTTTGCCTCCATTCCAATAATGGTTGCAGCAGTGGTTTTTATTTTTAGTTGGTGTGACTGGCCCCTGTGGGTCAGTAGGCAATTTTGATTAGTGTTACATCCTATGTTGACACAAAATTAGGTTTTCACTTTGCAGGATATGTTGTTTGTAAAACAGAGGGAATAGATGCAGTATTTGAATGTTTGTCTGGTATTGTGTTCTTATTTTTCAGTTAAATCCAGATGTGAATGTTTTCCAGCGGAAATTTGTGAATGAAGTTAGAAGATGTGAAGAAATGGATCGAAAGCTTCGTATGTATATTTCAGTCTTGTATGATGTTCCTGTAAGGAGAGTCATTTGTCTTATATTAGAGACACTAGTCCTCTAAATAAATGAAGAAAATACTACCAGAGATAAAGAAAGGAGGGAAAATCTTGTGATCCTGGTGTTAGGATGAGTGTCTTGTACGCAAGTAGACTTACTGGTATCTGGGCTACATAGTGCCTAATGGGAACCTTGTCTGAGATGACAAGGCTGCAAGCTGAAACACTGGTTATTTTTTGATGGTGAAGACTTTATAGCAGAACTACATTAGAATTCTGAGAAGTAGGACCTGGATTACTATCGATTTTGGATGTTAGCCCAGCCATCTTTTAATTTGAGCTATTTCTGAAGGGAAAACTAGTATTTACTAAGGATCTTTTGAACACACGGGTGTTCATATACCTTATTTCATTCATTCTCCATAACATTCCTTCAAGCTGGATGATGGAGGGACTTGCCCGAGAACATAAGCGGTTGTGATGGAATCAGGATTTGAATCCAGATTGCTCTCTCTGGCTCCAAAACCCAAGATTTTGCCACTACACTACACCAGCTTTCAGTTAGCTGATAGATGAATCTGCCCTCCGCCCCCGACCCTTCTATCCTCTCCCCCCGCAAAAAAAAAAAAGTCAGTAGTTGTCACCTGAAACACTTTTCTGGTATTTTGCAGAAGAAAGCCTTATTCTGTTTTTTGTTTTACTTAAAACTGACCTGATGGTTTCCAAATTTAATGAAACCTGTTTGATAATGGAGTTAAGTGTCAGATATTCTATTGATTTGCATTCTTCTTCTGTAGTTCAGCTTTGCCAATGATATCTTTGGCCAGAACTGTCATATTTTTGGGAAGCAGTTGCACAGGGTGGAGAGTCAAAGCAGATACGGGCCGGTTTTAAGACCAGAAGACGGAAAGAAGGTGGTTGTGGGATGACCACCGTCTTTGGGGTGACTGCTTTAGAGGACTGTGGAGAACAAGCTCTGCTGCCGTTATGTAAAGGCATTTTTCTTGGAATGAAGCACTTTCTCGAATAATGGCAGCTCCAGGCATGTGCAGCATGCAATCATATTTTGATTCTGTCATTTTAGGTTTTGTTGAGAAAGAGATAAGAAAAGCTAACATCCCAATTATGGACACTGGCGAAAACCCAGAAGTGCCCTTCCCCCGGGATATGATTGACTTAGAGGTAAGCAATTTTTCTGAGAAAGCCAGATAAATTTCTTTCTAGTTATCTGCAGGAAGCACTTTACTGAGTGGATAGAGTAGAGTAGTTCTTGCTGGCCTGTCAGCCTTGTCTGTTGGTGTAAGTTTCTTATGGGTGGGATTGAAGCGAATTCCATTTTTTATAGTATCAAACAGTATCTCCAACAGTGTTGTTTGCCACTGAATAAGTTCATTGGTTTATTGAAACTTTATTGGATTAATGTCAGATTGTCTAATATCTTATTAACCTCATAGACTCTAAATGAACAGCCAATGGGCTTTTCCATAATTATTTTATCCGTTGGAAACCCCCAAGAAATTTACTAAGTGTATACTAGAATCTATAGACAAAGAAAGACTATTTTAAGCAAAAAATTTTCATAAAGAAAATTTCCCTGGTAAAATCCTTGTACCTGGTGTGTAGATCTTGGAACTGTCACGGTGACAACAGTTCTATAGTAGGAATTCATGTAATGTCTTCACAGTAAGCCTGTTGAGCTTAGTTTGAGTTAATAATTTGATTTTTTCTTCCCTCTAGGCCAATTTTGAGAAGATTGAAAATGAGCTGAAGGAAATCAACACAAACCAGGAAGCTCTGAAGAGAAATTTCCTGGAACTGACTGAATTAAAATTTATTCTTCGAAAAACTCAGCAGTTTTTCGATGAGGTCAGACTATTGTTTCTTTTAGTATTTGAGCAGCTGATATTCCACCCGCACAAGGGGGCCATATTTTTATTCCAGTAATTATTTTGATTTGCTAGTTTAAAAGCAGTACCATTTTTGCACACTGTTTTAGTTGAAGGAATGTCAGATTATGTTCAGTTTTTCATGCAGTGCACAGCTAATCATGGTTTTTTTGTATTTTTACATTTTCTGCAATTTTTCATCTCAAGATGGGGGAAAGGAACCCTAAAGTAGCTGCATAGACATAGTTAATTGAGAGTTTTACATGTATATTTTAAGGTAAGTATTTGCTTAAGGTTGAAGTGGAAGAAACAAGAAAAGTATGGTTACTTGAAATTATAACAAAGTTTTAATCTCCAAACTTTTTGTCATCAGATTGTAATTTTTATTTTATTCTCTGTGCTTGTTTATCAGCCGTTGAGCATATTTTAAGCATATTTTCAAGAGTTTTTCATTGTGCTGTATGGAAATATTGTTAGGATGCCTGTTTGAAACTCCTGGATTCTCACATAAACCCAGCTACATTATCTTATAGGGGAAAAAGGTTACATTCGTGGTTTAAAAATGTAGATGAGTAAATTGCCAGTTAACCCCATGGAAAGGCTTGGGAGCAAGGCTTTCAGAAGGCTTCCTTCTCCTAATTAAACCTGGGGAAGATCTTAGCTTTTAGTCTGTATGTATTTTTTCTGATGGCCACCAAATTAGCAACATTAGACACTGCAGAGATTGTTCCAGTTGCTGTTCAGTGTGCCTTCCTGTAAAGTTCTTTATTTCTTTTGTTCAATAGAAAACTTGGCATTTTACTTAGCATCTGATATGTTTTTAGTTTTACTTCAATTTTTGTCTTTTGAGGAGAGACTAACTCTCAGTAGTTGTCTAGGCTGAGGTAGGAGTTCTCCAACGAGCAGCATCAGCCTCATCTGGGAACTTGTTAGAAATGCAAATTCTCAGGCCCAACCCCAGAACCAGAAACTGTGGGTCGGGCCCAGCAATCTGTGTTTTAACAAGGTGATTTTTTTTTCTTTTAATTTTTTTATTGTTGTAGTTTAAATGAGGTTAACATTTCAAGTTAGTTTCCCATACAAAAATTTATACATAGATTGTTATGTGACCCTAATTGCTCTCCCCATACTGTGACAGCACACTTCTCCTTTCCACCCCTGATTCCCCATGTCCTTTCAACCAGCTCCTAACCCTCTCTGCCTTCCCATGTCACCTCTGGACAGAAGCTGCCCGTTTAGTCTCTTGTATCTACTTGAGCTAAGAGGAACAAGCTGATTCTGAGGCACGCTCTAGTTTGAGAACCACTGGGCTGGAGCAAGTCTGCCAAAGATGTGACACATTCCACAATAACTAAGGATTTGACTTAGAGAAACCATACTAATTAAAAAGATCTACTGGGGTGAGGAAAAGCTCATATGAATTTAATTGTCTGGTCCTCCCAAGAATCAGAATCTGGTTATCTTATCAGTTGAGGCTTGGTGTGAATATTCAGCTTGCTCACTGAGTGGAGAATTTTGAGACTGGTGGTAACTTCTTTCAGTAGTCGCCAATATCATTGCATTCGAGGGTGTGGGACAGTGTAATTAACTCTTTCCAAGTGTTTAAGGTCTTTTGCAACAGGTATAGCCACTTAACGCTATATGGCTTTAGTGAACAAATAATCTAGAATTCCAGTTTTCCCACTGCCTAAACAGTGTATGGAGCCCTGGTGGTACAGTGGTTAAGAGCTCACCTGCTAACCAAAAGGTTCAAATCCACCAGCTGCTCCTTGGAAACCCTTTGGGGCAGTTCTGTTCTGTCCTATAGGGTCGCTATGAGTCGGCATCAACTCGACGGCAGTGGGTTTGGTTTTGGTAAACAGTGTATTTATTTTCACTGAGCATTTAATGAGCACCCACTGTTTGTGAGGCACAAGATGAGTAAGACATGGTCCCTGCATTCATGGAATGTATCGCTTAGTCACATCAGGAAATATCCCAGAACACGATGCCTCCATATGCTCACAGATGTGTGCTTTTCTAAATGTGTCCAAGCTGCTGTCCACAGATCCCATGTACACCTGGCCTCAAGGTCAAAGCCCAGCTGCTTTAAGCATCTTTGAGTCTTAATTCTCTTACCCCTTATTTTTTCCCCCTTGGTACAACCTTTAGTTCACTGCTCAGATGTATGAAAATGTCTTTCATAGCATCCTCAGTTTAAGGGTTGGAGTGAGATTCCTAAACTCTTTAATTCTGGGAGAAATTCTGAATAAAGATTGACAAATAGACTCCCTTAATAAGGGAAATGATTATTTAAACTATTAATTTTATAATTAAAAAAATAGTAAAAATAAATTAAGAGGAACTACTTGGAAAGATGACATAAGATTTTTTAAATCATTAAGTTATGAATTTAGGAGTTTTATTTTGTGCTTAGTAAGTCTGAATATGAAATGCCAATCATGAAATGCCAATCATGAGAAGGCAGGCTCTAAGTCTTCATGACCTGCATGTCCCATCTGTGATGGGTTGTTTTTCCTGCCTTTTTATACAAAACATGCCTCCAAAAAAAAAAAAAAAAAAAAAAACTTTGGAAGTTCTTTTGAGCAGGAGGCCTTAGCTATGAGAGGTTCTTCCTTTGCTTTCATCCGCAGCCCCACTTTGGTTCTTAGCACCCTCAGAACAGTGCAGGAAGTCCTCTGATAGGAACCACTCTGCTTCTGTCTCCGAGTGCAGTCAGTGCCTTGCCTGCTGTTAGTTAGCTTGTAGTCTCGGCCAACGCCCTTTCAACCAACCTTGCCCTGATGCTGCCAAGCAGCAGCCTTATGTGTCACAGCTGTGACAGAAGAACAAGGCGTTGCAGGGTGAGAGCATCTGCGCATGTGACTGCATGCTCTCAATAATGCAGAGGATACGGAAATTCCCGAAGTTAGGGGTTTTCATGAGATTTTCTTCTATGCCTGAAACTGTAATGTTTGCAAATGGCCTAAAACACTATGCATTTTAAGCCCTTCTTTTTTTCTTTTTTTAAAAAAAAATAATTTGGTGAACACAGTCAATGATTCGTAATGATCAATTAGCCGAAAATGGCCAAATGAGAAAATATTTCTTTCTGTCTTTAGGCATAGGGGTTATGATTGGCAGGGTGTGTAGAAGGCGCAGAATAAACACATAACTGAATATTCTTATGATTTAGGATGATTACAAATTGGGCTTAACCATTTTATATCCAAAGTGTTTAAAATGACTTGTTAATGATTATCCTTTTCCCAGTCTTCTTGCTTATGAAGAACTATAAGAGCTGGAGAGATTTCTCTGCATCTTTTACCATAAGCACCATAACATATGAGAACGTAAAGAAGACTGGAAAAGTAATGGTTAATGGCATGCAGATCCCTGCTTTCCTTTCCTTCTGAGTTTTCCATCCATCTGCTTTCTTTTTCTTTCTCATTTGTCGTCTACTATGGGGCTTGCTAATGGGGTTTGGTGAGTACCTTAGATGATGAAATGTCATTTCTTTCTCAATGTAGGTGAAAATAACAGTGTTTGCCCTTGGTAATTATGTAGCTTCAACTGGATGTGCTGCTTTATACTTAAGTGCTGTAGAGATGGAGCTGCTGGAAGTTCTGCTGCTTCCTTTTTCAAGGCAGGATTTTCAGTATTCTGATTGGGGAAAGAGGTAAACCAAAGGGCATAGCAGGTAATTTTGTGGAACGTTTGAAGTGTTGTAATCAGAGAACCCAGATTTTCAAGATTAGATTTAAATACTCCACGCCATGGTTTTAGATATTGCTTTGAAGGCCCTTAGGGATTCTGGTTATCCTAGCTTTCCATCAGGCACAATTATTTTAAAAATTCTCTCTTTCTAAGATTTAGGATTCTTAAGTGTGAAGTAGTGAAGTTAGTAATTAGAATATTACTGCAAGTTTCTATTTAATTTTAATTCTGCTGTTTTGTTTTTCCCCAGAGAGTCCCAGATACAGTCTTTTGGTCAGTCTAGTTGCCGAGCACTATTTCCTCTTCTATCAGTTGGCCCTTTGAGAGTGCACGTGTTTGTATTGAGTCTGATCTTTAGGGTTTTCTTAAGCCAGGTCTTGTGAACCATGTAGGGAAGTAGGAGAGAATCTTGTAAGTAGTAATCAGTTCCACTGGTTTTTGTCGAGAGACACTGCAAGAACAAGTTGAAATGTAGTCATCTGGATCCTCAAAATAAGTTGCGTGTGGCTTGCAGTCAGCTGATTTGATTTCAAGCAGAAACAAAAAGAACCCCTTAATCTTCCATTTGGCAGCAAGTGGTAACCTGTACAGCTTATCGTCCTACCGTAAAAATTTGCAGTCTCATGACAGTATTTCTCCGCCCTTTTGGTTACTCAGTGCCTGCCCCTCCTTTTTTTCTGGTTTGTTTGTTTGTTGACCCTGCTTCAATAAATTATTTCCCAAAACAATTACTTTCATTTTTTTAAAGCCTTCAGACTTATCATCTGGTTTATACTTAGTCTTTTGTTATACTTACGGTCGTAGGACTTCATCAGGTGAGGTTCCCATGTGGCATGTTTTGTTAATGGGGTAGACAGGAGTAGAATCAACTTGAAATTTGGAATGAAAATGATAGAGAAAAATTGCCTGACTTTCGTTTTGTTTTGCTTTTGAAAAGGAGAATTGTTCTTATTTTTAGTCTTTGGTCAAATGAGTAGTATATGGATGTTAAAATTGGGTAGATTAGGCAGTAGAGAAGTCAATCGGACTTTATTTTTAAGGGCAGTTTCTCCTTTCTGATGGGAGTAAAGGGAAAGAGTGGTAGGATAAGTTGGATAGAGAGAGGCCGAGAAATGTAGACCTACATATGGGAAGGTCCCCTCTCCTCCTTCATTTCATTGTATAAATTGTCATGGTGGAAATCATTTTAAATTAAATCAATTGAACCAGCCCATGAGCTCTGTATTGCCTTATTATCTGTCGCCTTTTCTTTACCTTAACTTGATTTAGATTGTTGGCTTTAGCTATGTTCACAAGGATCCTTAAACTGTAAAACCTAATGAACTTTTTAATATTCTTATATTCTTAGCCAGCAAATAGGACATTCAGATATGTTTTTACTTTTTTTTCCCCTTTATGGATACAGTGGAGGCTCAGGCCTGCCTGGCTGTTGTGCTTCTTATCCTTTTGGAAAAAGAAATACTCTTTAAATCACATGGTTTGGAGTATTTTATATACAGTGGCCATGCTGAAAGCTCTCTTATTCTGAATTTTTAAGGACATGGAAAACCTAGATGTCTAGAGATGCCCCTTCTGTCTTTCTCCAGATCAAACTGTGTTCAAGACAGTGATGGTGCCTTGCTTTCTGCCTTGGAAAGAGAGTCTACATTGTTCACATTCCCACAGAGGGCAATTTCTAGTTTGTAGCTGCCTGGAAATTTAAATGTTGAAAATATCTGCAGAGCTGCCTTGTTTTTACCCAAAAGGGAGAGACATTTCAGCTTCCTATTCACATGCAAAAGTAATTCCTGGTACTTTCATAACTCATCCAGGAAAATATAGCAGAGAGAGAAATGGCTTCCACCAAGTAACAGATTTATACATGTCACCGTGATTTAATGTTTTTTCTTTATTCTTTGTTTCTATAACCATTTCCCCAGATACTTTACTGGGGCAGTTATGCTTTCTTTACCTGTTATTTCTTTCTCTTGTTTTCTTCCCCTATTCTTCTTTTTGTGGGTGTGTCTCCTCTTTTAATGGTTTTTTTTTTTTTTAAATCTTTATTTTCTGAACTTATCTCCTGGTTCCTCGTTCCCTGCATGCCACTAACTATTTTCATTAGATATTAATTGATTTGTGAATTCAGGCTGAATTGCATCATCAGCAGATGGCGGATCCAGACCTGTTGGAAGAGTCCTCATCCCTCTTGGAGCCAAGTGAGATGGGAAGAGGCACACCTTTAAGACTTGGGTAAGTACCACTTCAGTCCTTCCCTACCCGGTGGGGTCATGTTCAATTTCGCTGTTCAGAAGAGGCTGGTGATTCACTTGCTGGAGGAATGCACTGTCCTCTGAGCCTGTTGAGAGGTGTTTCTAAGTCGGTTTGGATTCAATTCCTAAGTCGTTTTGTCCACCCTCTGCTGGTGGAGTGAGATGAGGAGTAAGACTTTGGTAGCCCTTTTGACATCACGGCACATAGTCTCATGTGTATAGTCGTTGCCTCTTTCCTTTGGCTATTCTTTGTCTTCTTAAAGCCACCTCTCCCATGACGTGGAACAGAGTTGCCAATCTGGCTCTTTTCCCCGCAGCTTCGTGGCTGGTGTGATTAACCGGGAGCGCATCCCTACTTTTGAGCGCATGCTGTGGCGGGTGTGCCGGGGCAATGTGTTCCTGCGACAGGCTGAAATCGAGAACCCCCTGGAGGATCCTGTGACTGTAAGACAAGGAAATTGCATCCCATGGAGTAGTTCTTGTAAAGGGAGCCCAGAGCAGTAACTCAGCATTGGTGCCACCTGATCTGACCCCCCTACAGAGGAGCCCTTAGGTTTATCCTGCTTTGATCTGAGAATTTGAAGGACTGCTTCTTTCCTCTGACTTCTGTCACATGTATACATCTGACGTATACATGGCATATACATATACATTTTCACGCTTTATCTGTATAGATAGTATTTTGATTGGAAATACGTTTTTCTCCAATAGTATTAAACTTTAGCTTTACTTGTTTTTTGTTACTGATCTGGGATCCAAAGAAAATTAGTCTTCTGTGAAAATTAGCTTAAAGCAGGACAACCGGTTTCGAGTTTGGTCATATCCATGTGTGAAAGAGAGAAGGAGAGATTTCTTAAACTGTGATCTTTATAAGGTGATGAAAATTTAGTTGGTAGGGTTTTTTGTCTACTTGTTTGTTGGGAGAAATAGAAACTTGGTTTAAAAATATGTATTGTGTAAGATAGGATGAGTGTTCTTCCTCACCCAGTGCTTTGGAAAGTAGGAACAGCTTAACATCTTGGTATTTGACATAATGGGACAGAGTTTATAACATAAACCTGAGTAAGTATGGTAAGTCCTGATTTGGAGGATTACAAGCAAAGATCACTAAATGTACTGCAAAAATTTTACTTCACTTTTGTATTAGTATTATTTAGAAACCTGGAGATGATTTTTCTGTTATGAATTATCTTATGGATTTCTTAAATTAGTATTCTTTGCTCTACTTAAGAGAGAATGTATTGTGATACTCCTCATATTGGGAGGGTTATGCAGCTAAAAATGATCCGGTTTTATGGCTTTTATTCTCTATACTGAGTAGGAATGTGCTGATACTGAAGTTACAGTGAGTCCCCGTACCCAGAGGAGCAATTTTACAGTCTTACTGAAGGCTGTTCTTGGGTTGTGAAAACATTGTAATCTACAGTCACACCTAATGTGGGACTGTTCTCAGAATTACTCAGCCAAGTTTCCGCTGGGCAAGAAAAAGATGATTTTATCAACAAATCAGAAAATGAGGCCTGGATAGCTATAACAAAGCAGCTGCACAAAGAATGTTCTCTGGTTTATCCCTAGAGAATTTAGGGATTTAAGACTCCTGAGCCTTCCTTAGCTCTTATACATCTTATATTCCTCACTCCTCATCCACTTGTTTTCCCTCTAAAGGTTTGTTCATTTGTTTTCTTATTATAAAAGCAATACATGTTCTATAGGTATATCAGAAAATATAGAAACTAGAGACAATCCTGGTTAACACAGCATATACTTTATTTTTCTGATCTTACTTTTCAATCCTTGCTCCGATTCCAGGTGAAAACTTGGTATTTGGAATGGATTGCCTCCCTGCCTGCTTCATACAGTCAAAATTAGCACAAATCGTGAGATTCTACAACAGCATCAGTAGTTCCCGGTAGTTATTCAGCCCCTTTTATCTGGGAATTTCTAAACATGTGAACAGACAGGAATGACTTCCTTCTCTTTCCTCTTCTCTATATTTTCATCATTCAGGCAATATAAGATTTAAGGTTGAATTGGTAAATAGTGCTAAGAGGAGCAGCATCTTAGCTTCTGTGTCAAGCTGCTGGTTGAGTTTAAAAAGGATTTTGTGAATTAGAGATTACAGGACAAATGTTCTTGTAGCAAAGTTTAAGATGTGGGGCAGGGTTTTGGTTAAAGTGCAGAGTTGCTGTATCATGGAAGGATTATTTAAGAAGTTTTCCTCTAGATTTAGATGTCTGAACTCTTGATTTTTGGTTTTGGGGCCTAGGGCGACTACGTGCACAAGTCTGTGTTTATCATTTTCTTCCAAGGCGATCAATTGAAAAACAGAGTCAAGAAAATCTGTGAAGGGTAAGAGACACCTGCCTCTGCTCAAGAGGACACAGCCATGCCGCTGAATTATTAAATCTTAGAATAAAAAATTGTGAAACACAATCCTTTTTAGTCTACATTGACACAATGACTATATCTTTTAATAATGTTGGGGCTATTTAAAACAATTAGAAATGGCCCAAGTTCATTTTTTAAAAATACTATCAAAACTACAATTTCCTTTCCCTGCGAGAAGTAATTAAGACTCGTGGTTTATAAATGGCCTATTATGGTGGGTCTACACAGCCAGCATAGTGTTACGGACTCTGTGTTCTTAAATTTTTCTGAAATTCTGCCCATAAGATCTTTTTCCATGCCACTTTTTTCTAATAATTTGCTTTACTTTTTTTTGTTTTCAATCTCAAGGGAGTTTAATAGCTACAGAGAATGTGAAAGTAGTTCAAATGTCTGTTTTTAGGTCACTTAATATAAATAATTGTTGTTGATTAGTGTGTCAGCGTAAACTATTCCTGATTAGCATGTCAGTCTGAACTATTCCTGTTTTGGTCATTCGAGTAAGTTAGGATTACTTCTAGAAATGGTTTAAATTGGATGGTTAAGAAACTTCAGTATGCCTCAGTGGAAACAGAACAAACAATGGAAATAATGAGAATGCTGATACATAGTAAAAAATGTAACCAATGGCACAGAACAATTTGTGTAAAAATTTTTAAATGGAAATCTAATTTGCTGTGTAAACTTTCACCTAAAACACAATAAATTATTTTTAAAAGAAAGAAACTTCAATATTCCTCAGGCTGTGTCTGCACATTCCAGGTTCCGAGCCTCACTCTATCCCTGTCCTGAGACGCCACAGGAGAGGAAGGAAATGGCTTCTGGAGTTAATACCCGGATTGATGATCTCCAAATGGTACACATTGGGCTGGAGGGAGTTTGTTTTGTGAAATAAAATAATAGCAGACCATTCTCCTTCCTTGAAACACTAGCAGTTAGTTTATTAGGCATCTGTAGCAGCCCAGGCTACCAAAATAAGAAATGTCCATGAGCAACACGTTCCCCTGGAAGCTGGGGAAAAGTCTCAGGGAATGACTGTTAAAAATAGCGTGAGTCTTCTTCAAATGAGACAGTAATGCTGTGCATCTGAAATTGTTGTTGCCTAGAGTATTCAGTTCCCCTCCATCTCATGAGTCTGAGATATGTTTTATAATGAAAATATTAAGTGTGTTTAGTTAAGAAAGACAATCAGATAATGCGGAATCACATATAAAGTAAGTTCTGCTCTTACACACCAGGTGTGTATCCTTCTGGTCATCTTAGATCTTAACTACACAGTTTAGCCGAAGAGTCCTGCTGTGGATGTTGTACCCAGAAAGAGACTGTGTTCCATCTTTACCAGATTGCAGTGTGTGTAGCATACACGCACGGTGGTTATCACAGGGTTCTAAGGGGGGAGTCATGATTAATACATATGTAGAAGGAAAAGGGTGGTAGGTTGGGACTTTGTTCGCTGTTGAAAGAATGAATGTATGATTGCCGTCCTGAAACATTAATAAACATACTTAATCCCAAAGGCAGTTCCTTCTGGCAGTGGCAACATTTTCAGACTTACGTAAATCTATTTTCTCCCTTCAACCCATATTGTACATGACCCACCCACTTGACCTATTGCTGACTCCTTTAAGTTTTTTAAGATCTCCTGGTGGGTGATAGGCCATGTTAGAACATTTGGGGTTCTAGAGCTGCCTTATCTCCTCTCAGATTTATGGGTGAATTTAAACAGCATGTGATATAGTCAGGATAAATGACAAGAATTTGATATTTAAAAATCTAGCTTTATAAACTGAAACTTTAAAAAGGGATACTAAGGAACAGGACGTGAGGGGAGGGGATGGGGAAAGAGAAAGGCAAATAGAACATTGTTTGCAATTTTATCCAACATCCTTCCTAAAGAAGTTTTAATAGTAATAGTGAAATAGTCAACAACGTGGAGAGAGAGGGTAGCTTTGCTCCTTTATTCTCAGGTGATATAAGCAGTTCTCCTGCGTGCCATGGCTTTTTTTAACCTTTCTGTGGGAATCACCTTCCTCTGCCCAAGGCAGTTTTTCAGGGAGTAGCTACTACTTTGTTCTGTACTGACAGGTGCTTCAGGTGGAGACGTATGCTTAAAATGGGCAAGTATATAGCTTTTTACTCTTCAAAGAGTTAGGCTGTCATGTGGAAATGTGATTGGTGGTTGCTTGTCCAGTTCTTTCTAATTGGAAGGAGGGATCTTAGCCCCTCTTCTGCTGTTGAAACTTAAATAGTTGGCAGTAAACACAGCATGGAATGTAAAATGTCCCTGCCCCTTCCTCAACCCCAGTCTTGATAATATGATTCCTCTGAGGAATATATACTATTACTAGTTTCCAAAGGATCAAAACTGAAACATGTTTTTCCCCAGGAAATCTTAAGAGGGGTAAAGGCATATGTGCCCCCGTGATGACAGTGGTAGGTGGCAGTATAAATCCCCCGAAAGGCCCTGGGTCTTCCTGATCCCAGTGTGTCCTATCACACGTCCCCCAGTATGACCTAGGCAGATGATGATGTTCAGCGCTACCTCTTTCCCACCATTCCCTGATGCTGGCTTAGGTTCAGGATTTGTTGACTTTGTTAGCTCCTGGGCCTGTGATGCTCACTCTTCAAGTCTGAGTTATAGGCTCCCTGTGGAAACTCACTGGCTCTTTAGTTATCCAAGTAAAAGCCAGTGACCTATATTTATTTTAGTATGCCCTCTGAGTTGGTGGTAAGATTAAATATAGAAAGAAAAGCTAAAAACCATTTTGCAGGTTTATCTTCAGCCTGAGGGTAAATGAAAATCAATGTTAGTAACTAGAAATCTAATTCCTTGTGATTTGGCAAAAAAGAAGCCATTCTAGGCAGAAGGAGGTTAAAAAAAACAGATACACAGCAACCCTTCTCAGAAGGCCGTGCCTCTTTGCCATTCATGTCCTGAGACCTAAGACTGGTGTTGGAAGGGTCCCTCCCTTGTTCTTTTCTCTCCCTAAAGGTTCTGAATCAAACCGAGGATCACCGCCAGAGGGTTCTGCAGGCAGCTGCTAAGAACGTCCGGGTCTGGTTCATCAAGGTGCGGAAGATGAAGGCCATCTACCACACTCTGAACCTGTGCAACATAGATGTGACCCAGAAGTGCCTGATTGCGGAGGTGTGGTGCCCTGTCACCGACCTGGACTCCATCCAGTTTGCACTTAGAAGGGGCACGGTGAGTCCCTCACAGCTAGGAGGGCTGCTTGCCCATCAACAGTAACATTAATCGGTTCTGACTTGGTGGCAGTTGCACTTCCGGAGTTCTTTAACTTATTCGCCTGTAGCCTGACGGTACATTTCCTACAAAGCCCTAGAGTATTATCCTTATTTTACAAACGTGGAAACTGTAGTTCAGAAATTAAATGACTTGGTCATATACCCATGATTCTTCAGGATAGCTTATGACCAGAGCATGCATTTCCTAATCCACTCTCTGGACTACTTCAGAATCCGGACAGACCTCTTTAGTAGTTAGAGTGACTGCTCTGTCTAAGGCACTGACCTAGTGGCTGGAAGGGATAGAGAGATGTAAAAAACATGCCCTCAGCTGTGTTATAGCCTGTTAGGAGAGGCTGACACGCACACAAGACGAGACAGTCTGTGCTAAGAGTGGTGTATGTGTGTGGAGGGAGGGGGCTAGCTTCTCCAATGAGGGTGATCAGAAAAGACTTCAAGAAGAAGGTGGCATTTGATCAGGACTTTGAAGAATGGGTAGGATGTTGATCAGCAATGACTAAAAAAAAACGTTTCGGACAAAGGCAGGAAGTCCAGTGCAACAGTGGGTCATTGGGCAAGAGCAGGAAGTATAATGGGTTAGCTGAAAGAGTAGGAGGTAAACCTGGGTCAGGTAGATTTGAACCTAATCGTGAAGGGCTTTTAAATAACAGATCTTACTACGTCGGTTTGAATTTTACTCCATGGGAAGTAGGCATTGAAAGTTATCAGGCAGTTAAGGGACATGACCAAGAAAGAGCTGTGATAGAGTAATCTGTTGATAGTGTCTAGGTCGGATTGGGGAATGGAGAGTCTGTAGGTGGGGGGCAAGTTAGGAGGTGATTGTTGACGTGAAGTAGTAAGTCATAAGGACCCTCAGGGTAGGATCTGATAATGGGGGCAAAAAACCAGTAGATTTGTGAGACATTTTGAAGGCAGAATCAGCAGGTATCCTTGGTTCCTAGCAAGGTGCAGGAGAAAGAATTTAAAATTTTTTTCTGAGGCATCAAAGCTGAGTGGCTGGGGAAATTATTGTTCCATAAATGGAAATAAAAGTTCAGTAAGAGAAGCTTATTGATAGGGGAAAGTTCAGTTTCAGTCACATGGGGGTGCTGAATGGAAATCCACATGGAAATGCCTAGCAGGCAGTGGGACAGGTTCTCAGTAGGGCAGAATGGGAGAAATGGGAGTCATGAGAACGGAAGGGAGCGAGACCTCTGAGAGGGAGACTGTGGAGAGAAAATAAGGAAACTGAAGATAGATCCTTGGGGACCTGGTGGAGAAGGAAGAGGCAGCAGAGAGAGAGAAAAGGAATGGTTAGTGAACCAGACGGAACTCCCAAGGAAAAAAACTTATACTGAAGAAGAGGAAGATAACTAATGTCAGGGGCTTGCACATGGAAGAGAAGACCTTTGGATCTGGCGGTGAGCCCATCCACCTATTGCTGTAGAGTTGGTTCAGACTCATAGTGGCCCTGTAAGACAGAGTAGAACTGCCCCATAGGGTTTCTATGGCTGTAGATCTTTATGGAAGCAGACTGCCACATCTTTCTCCCGCAGAGCAGCTGGTAGGTTTGAACCTCCAACCTTTTTGTTTAGCAACCGAGCGCTTAACCACTTCACCACCTGGGCTCCTTTTGGTGTTGAGCCAGGCACTTTGAATAAACATACTCAGCCAGACTGCAAGGGATTAGGGAGTTAAGAGTGGGCAGTGAACAGACAGCCCCAGACTTACATGTGACTCTGGCCACAATCAGCTCAATCTGGCCCATGCCAGGGAACCAAGAACCTTCTTTCTTACTCCAAAATAAATTACTGACCTACAGAAACCTGAGCTAGATAAATGTTGCTTTGTTTTTGTTGTTGGGTGTTGCGGAGTCGTAGTGATCCCGCGTGACTGGGTGGAGCTGCCTCATGGGATTTTCTAGGCTGTCATCTTTAATTGCTAGGTCTTTCTCCAGTGGAGCAGCCAACTTTCTGATTAGCAGCTGAGCACTAAACCGTTTCGCCCCCAGGGCTTCTTAGGATTATGTGTCATGCAGCAAATGCTAACACAAGTCTCCTATTTTCAGTAAATATCATGGGATATTGTAGTTATTTTTAAACCAGATGTTTAATGACATATATTAACTTTGAGAAACCATAACTTTGTAAACTTTCCTTTAACTTGGTCAAGACTAAAAGATACCACTTTATCTTGAAATATACTCAGCTCCTGTCTTCATAGAGACACTAACTATTTAATAATAACTCAACCATCATGAGATTTTATGCACAATCAAAATTGGATTGAAGGAAAATTCTCATAGGCCAGCTTTAAATATATGGCTGAAAGCAGTAACGGTCGTAAACTACATGCTCTGTTATTCCTTTTTGAAAATTTCAAATATTAGTTTAATTATACTCAGTCTGAAAGTATAACATGATAATTTTTGTTTAATCATATACTGATGCTGACATTGAAAGAAGTGTCATTTGAATTTTTCCAGCCACTTAGTAGGATGATATGACATAGAATGAACTGTATATTTATAAAGTTAGAGTGGTAAAGAATGACATTGTGTATTCAGTGTTCAATTACAGATGTGTAGAGTGACATCAAAACAAATCATCTCTCTGTGTATTATGAAATAGCAGCTATATTTTCCTCAAGCTTGATCGTGTTCAGTTTACATTTGTACTTTGGCAATAAATCACCTTCCTTGGGGGCAGGGGAAAGAGTGCGCGGTGAAGAAGGAGAAACAGAATATACTTTGTTTTCTCTGTAAAAAGACGAGCGAAGGATAATACTTAAAGAAAGGTAGAGAAGGGTGTCTCCAAGGAAGGAGATTCCACCTTTTCTTTGGTTACACATTCTAGAGTTAAATTTTTTTCACAGTAAGGATGTTCTTCCTGAGAATTTAAATCTTTCATTGTAAATTTTATACCTAGTCCTAGTTTCCCCAAAAGCTGGGAAAAATAACCTTCCATTTTATTTTTCAGTTTGTTTTACTGAGATAATTTACATAAAGAAAATGGACATATTTTATGTGTACAGTTCAGTGAGTCTTCATAAATGTGTTTACCTGTGTAACCACTACCACATGAGGATAACCTAATGTTGATACATGTGCTTAATGTTTCCTAGGAACACAGTGGTTCCACTGTGCCTTCCATTTTGAATAGGATGCAGACAAACCAGACTCCCCCAACCTATAACAAAACCAACAAGTTCACATACGGCTTTCAGAACATAGTAGATGCTTATGGAATTGGAACTTACCGAGAGATAAATCCAGGTAAAAAAGCTCAAATCTTTTTTGTCTAGCTTTTGTTTTATTTTTAATTCCTTGCTTTAAATGCTGTCGGACAATTGGCTTAAAACTAAAGATGATGTAAGACCTCAGCGCTAACGTAGTTCCTGTAAAGAGGTGTGCCTGTTTTGACATAGGGACCGAGGTTTGTCACCAGTTGCACTCCCTTAAGAGGTGGGAAATGAGCTCATTGAAATGGATTCTTCCATGTGCCCTCACAGCTGTAAAACATTTGTCCTTTCTCTAGCAAACCATTTGCAATGGCTGCCTTAACAAATGTCTTTTCCAAGACGTCTAATATTTGCAAATGCCTTCTTCGTGGCTTCCAGGTTGGACAGAGAAAATATAGCAGTTATTGTCCATGTTAAGCAGGAGGCAGATTTCTGCTCTGCTTGGAGAGTTAATTATTAAATTAACAGTCTGAGGATTCATTTTCTGCAGGACCTGCCTTGCTCTGGGTTCTGGGGCTTCTCCCACTTCCTGGTAACTTTATCCAGCTGGGAAGAAAGCTGGTCTGCCCCAGGCGCAGCATCCCGGGGATTAGAAAAAGGGAATCAGAGAACAAACCGTGTGGTTGCCAGGGCTAGCTAGAGACAAAGCCTTCATTTCTTGTGTTCTTCTTTGTTTCAAATGTTAGCGGCAGCTCAAGTTCCATCAGAAGTGCTTTGTGAGCTGTGCGGATCCTACCATGACAGTCCACCTGTCTGGCAGCTTGGGAATAAGTCCCTTTATATTGATCTAAGAGAATGGAGAGAGTGTGATATTTGGGGAATTGTCGCAGTTTTCTGTACTTTGTCTTTTTCCTTCTTTGATTTCTTTATAGCTCCATATACCATCATCACTTTCCCTTTCCTATTTGCTGTGATGTTTGGAGACTTTGGCCATGGCATTTTGATGACCCTTTTTGCTGTGTGGATGGTGTTAAGGGAGAGCCGGATCCTCTCCCAGAAGAATGAGAATGAGGTAACGTTTGTTAAATCTGCACTGGGCTGATAATTGCTTAAGCATTCGTTATCAAAATTATCATCTGGAAGTCTTTTACCCATGAATTTATCAAAAGGGAATAGCAAAGCTCTGTTCATCTTAACATTAAAGAGGCCATGTGCTATGAAAGTGAATTTCTGGTTAGCACTATGTTTTGATCTTTACTTCAAGGTCTCTGACCCAGTATGGGGTAAAATGGTGTGAGAAGAAGGGACTAGTGTATTCTAACTAACATTGTCACACATGAGCTGCTGCAAGTACATCCTTATTGACTTCTTCCTTCTGGTTCCCAGATGTTCAGCACTGTGTTCAGTGGCCGATACATTATTCTATTGATGGGTGTGTTCTCCATCTACACTGGCCTTATCTACAATGACTGCTTTTCCAAGTCTCTTAATATCTTTGGGTCATCCTGGAGCGTCCGGCCGATGTTCGTATCTAATTGGACGTAAGTTGCAGAGGAAGCTAAAAGTGAAAGCTTATTCATTTCGTGTTCAGCTCTGATTTTTCAGACAAGTGATAAACTGACACTTCTTTAGGAAGGAGTTGACAGTGTCTCTGTTTCTGGAGAATTCAGAGTCTCCTTTATTTATGCTCCAACTTGTGAAGTGCTTTGTGATTTGATCAGCAGTGTCAAGGAACTGAGACTATGATTTAAGCACTCTTTTTGTAAACGAAAAGCAGATTCCCAGAGTTTCCTACTTGGTTATGTACGTGTGTTTAGTATTGCTTTTTGTCACCTCTGATTGGTTCTCATTCTCAGCTGCTAGTCTCTCCTCTTTCACTGAAGAGACAAGATAGCTGTAGTAGTTTCTTTTGGTGTCAGTTTCTGGATCCCAGTAGCTTCCCTTTCTTAATAAAAAATAAATCTGACTTTTTTCCTAACGTGGTAGGGAGGAGACGCTTCGGGGGAACCCTGTTCTCCAGTTGGACCCAGCCGTCCCTGGAGTTTTTGGTGGACCATACCCTTTTGGCATCGATCCGGTAGGAGCGCTTCTCTCCTACATCTCTAACCCCAAATTTGTTAACTCTAACCCTGAAGTGAGTGAATTAAAGTGCAGATAAATAGTTATTTGGTTTTAGGTTGACGTGTTTTTGGAAAACCTTGGTAGATTTGTCCAGAATACATCAAAGCCATAAGAGACCCAGGTGCCTTGGGGAGCCAGACATTTCTTCCTGCACTGCTTATTTCTGAGATGATAATAATATTGACCTTGGGAAGATTTATTTTCAAGACTCCTTCCAAGTTTATAATTTATTTCTACTTAGTTTGGATTTTATTTTTAGCCAGATGTTTTAATAAAGCAGAAATAACTTTTTCCTATGAATATCAGATTTCCAGTCTTATCTTTACATATTTATAAGTACTTATCTCAGAATATAATTTTTTTTCAAATACTTAGGCAAATAAGGTATGATCAAATCTTTTACATTATGTGCTAAAAAAGGGAAAATTTTAAAATAAGCATTAGACAGTAGGGATCATAAAAATCCAAAGGAAAACCAGATCACTGTGGGCTGGAAAGATTAAGATTTCTTATAGAAAGTGGGAATTAAACTGGCCTTTAGAATTTTTTTTTTAGATTGTTACAGTTGATGGGAAGTGTGTACAAAAACATAGAGATGGGAATGTACAAAGTTAATTATTTTAATTATTATAGTAGCTAACATTTCTAAAATGCTTACATAGAGCCAGGCACTGTGCTGAGCCCTTGGCATATTTGATTTAACCCTCAAACAATTCTATCACAGAGATAAGAAAACTGAGTCTTGGAGAGTTTTAATAACATTTGACATGTTCATTTAACAGTGTTTATTAAATCCGTATTGTCCTTAACGCCTGCTGGGGAAAACAGTTTTAAGACATGGCTCCTACCCCCAAGTAGCTTGAAGTTTGATCATAATTGCCTTACATTTATATAAGTTACAACATTTTTTTTTAAACACTTCTCAATTTGATACCTCCAGGGTAGTTGTTGAGTTTGAGGTGTCTATGGGACATGTGGGTATAAATGTCCATCAGGCAGTGGAGTTGCAGAACTGAATTTCAGGCGAGACTGGGCCTGGAGAGAACCAGTCACAAGTTGTCAGGTCACCTAGGATGAGTTCTTCATGGAGAGGCCAGTTCAGAAAGAAAAGATACTTGGCTAGGTTGTGGAGGATCTGGCTTATCAGGCTACGGAGTTTGCACTTTAGCCTAGAGATGACAGTGGGACTTCAAGGGCGGTTTTGGCCCAGGGAAGTGTCTGGGTCAGAGGCATAATTTAGGAAAATTAATATCTGGTGGCCAAGTAGAGGAAGAGAGAGCTGTTAGGAAAATATCACAGGCGTGCAGGCCTTAGGTGACAAGAGCTTAAGGCAATTGATACTTAAAAATAGATGAACGACAGCACCACCAGCTGCAATCAGCAAAACACAGGCTATGGGGAAATCTGCAGGGTAAATGAGCAACCCAATTTCTTCAAATATTTTCTAAGGAACAAAAAAGTAGAGATGGAAGAGGACTCTGTAGATTAGAGACTAAGAGTTATATCAACATTCACGACATATGGACCTTATTTGAATCCTCATTCAAATAAATAAATAATTTTTTTTAAATTTTAGAGACAATCGGAATTTTAAATACTGATTATATTCATGATGTTAAAGAATCATTGTTAATACTTTTGGGTATGTGATAACAGTATTGAATCATGTTTTTAAAATGAGCCCTTACCTTTTAGAGATCCATACTGAAATATTTACAGGTAAAATTATATCTGGACTTTGCTTCAGAATAATATGGAGGTGGGAAGTGGATGGGGGTATGATGAAACAAAATTGGCTGAGTTGGTAAGTTGATAGTAATTGTTGACACTGGATGATGGGTACATGAGAGTTTGTTATACTGTTCTCCCCTTATGAAGTTTATGTTTGGCGTTTTCGATAATAAAAAAAATCAACTACTTTTTACATAGATGAATAACTTTTTTCTCCTTGAGACCTCTTTGCAATAGCTTTTTGTTTTCTTGTGTTGTGGCAGATTTGGAACATTGCTACCAATAAACTGACCTTCCTCAATTCCTTCAAGATGAAGATGTCTGTTATCCTTGGTATTTTCCATATGATGTTTGGAGTCACCCTGAGCCTTTTCAACCATACGTGAGTTGCTCTGTTTCTGTCATTGGAATACTTTGTGTATATAATGCTTTTGACTAAAGAACATCTTTGGGGAGTGATTACTAGTTCCAAACCCTATTTCACATTGTAGAATTACTTTTATAAAAACTTGTCTTCTTCAGTGAGGCTTAATATTAGCCTCTTAATAATTTACATTTGCAGGAAAGATCTTTGAAAAAATTTTGAGCAGTTTTCATAAAAATGAGCCAGTTATTTTTATTCTTTGACATGTAATTTACATAAAATTATGAACTGTATGTAAGAATGTACTAGACTTTCCAGTCTCTTTCTCCTGGTCGAGGGTGGTACAGGGATGGTTCAGGGTCCCAGAACTTGGCAGTGATAGTTAATCCGACAGTATCTGTCGCCTCCAGTGCCTATGGCTGCTCCTTCTTAAAGGGATGAAGACAGAATTGGGGGAGCATTGGGTAGAAGAATTGAGCAAGTATGCCTTTCAGTGTAGGGGTGGTCCTGCATCTGTTCATGCTTAACATTTTTTTTTTTTCCTGTCTCTCTTTTAGCTATTTCAGGAAGCCCCTGAATATCTACTTTGGCTTTATTCCTGAAATAATCTTCATGACCTCCTTGTTTGGCTACTTGGTTATCCTCATTTTTTACAAGTGGACAGCCTATGATGCTCACACCTCTGAGAAGGCACCAAGCCTCCTGATCCATTTCATAAACATGTTCCTCTTTTCCTACTCGGACACTGGCAATGCAGTGCTGTACTCTGGACAGGTGTGTCAACCCAGAGGTGGGCTGTCTTAATTAGGTGGTTACCCTAGGTCCAAAAGCCACATGTTTCCCTGACCCTGAAAAAGCTGAGAAAAAACCCTTTCTCTAGTGTTTGATTTTCAGCCCTTGCATTCCAGATCTAAACTCAGCCCATCCTCCTTAGCCTGGGAAGGTCCTCTATAATTTCAGTATCCCAGAAGGGTAAAAATTATAACTCCCATCCTATAGGTCAGTCAGTTCCTGGGTATTGCCACAACTTATTTTGAGAAACTAGATAATGTTATTCGTAGGTTAATAAGAAAAAACTACCTGTTTTGGGGGAAATTTGTGCTGGAGTTGGAAACTGTGTATTTGATTAATGGACTTTTATGTGATGTGTCTTGTCCCGCTTTACAGAAGGGAATTCAGTGTTTCCTGGTCGTGGTTGCACTACTGTGTGTACCTTGGATGCTGCTATTTAAACCACTGGTCCTTCGCCATCAGTATTTGAGAAGGAAGCATTTGGTGGGTGTATTTCTGTTGCTGAAAGCTACTAAGCACTTTTTTTTTTTAAGATCAAGGCAATTAAGTTGATCTCCGCATTGGAGGTACTTAAGTGTACATAAGTCTATATACTCTTACACTCTTAAAATGTATGCAGTGCATACCCGAGTATGAGCACTGGTCCTGTTGAAGTCGGAGAAACATGTATTTGCTGCACAGACATCTGGATTCAGCTCTGAGTAGCTAGGGTAGAGAGAACAAGTCACAAGTTTTGACCTTTCCTGGGTGTCGTGCTATGCTCAGCAAAACCCAGGCCCAGGCCTGTCTAGTTGCAGCATCAGCCAAAGCAGGGCTACAGGAGCTGCAGACGGGCGAACTCACTCATGTGGTTTGCCTGGGCAACCACAGGGCTGACGCTTAAACATTTTCTTTGAAAATGAGACTGTGATACTCTCACCAACCAAAAGATCGAGGAAAAAGTCTTGGTTTAAAGCACATTGGTTTGTTTGTTTTTTTACTTTTTCAAAAGTAGCATACATACATGTGTTTACTTTATGTGTGCATATGACTTCTCCCCACACATACAAAGTTAAAAGTCGCCAAATGTTCAGTGTTGTGTGTGGTTTCTGGCTATCCAATAATGCTTACTTATTACACTGCCTGGGAAAACCCAAAAGATCTTGTTGCATGACTCTCACACAGCTGTTAGATTATTACCCGTTGGACAGCGGCTGAGTTACAAGACCCTCCTTCTCCCTTTTCTGACCATCTTCATCCTTCCATGTACCCTCCATTCGTCTCCCCCCTTCACTCCCTCCCTCTTTTGTTTTCTTCTCCCTTCCTCTTTTCTTCCATTTACTATCAGGAAGGGCAAGCTGTGGAGGCCCCAGTCAGCCCAACCCCGAGCCAGCAGGGACTAGAGGCAGCAGCGGCTGCAACAGTGAGTGAAATTCCAACCAACAAATCATCACATTATGTTTAAAGAGGTGGCAAACAGTGCAGCAGCATTCTTTTTAACTATATGGGAGCACGGGGCACGTGTGCTCTTGGGAAGTATGCCCTTGTTACTCATTGAGACGATGACAGAAGAGATTTCCACCTCTTAAGAATAGATTCAGATACCATCTTTACATTGGTCTACTAAGTTTCTGTTCAAATATGTAAGTACAGTCATGTCCATGAAAACAAAGCGGCTGTTGTATCCTCTCTGAGTCCCATTATCTTAATCCAAGATGGCAGCTCTTGGACCCGTCCACTTCATGTCTATATTTGTGACCATGTATTGGATGATTCTTCAGCATAGAAGTGAGAACATCTCTGTGATTTTTGCATTGGTTTCCCTGCACTTTAAAGTTCTACTTCAGATTGATGCTTTGACATTTGGTCCTTTTTAGCAATGACTTACCCTCTTTCTAGTGGAAGCTTAGTCATGTCAACTATTTTGTGAGAGTCTTGGAAGCCCTCGTGTCCTCAGCTGTTCCAAGGAGACCTCCACTCTCCCGTGTGTCTCGTTGTGTATACTGCACATCTGGTGTAAACAACCAAAGCATCTTCTGTCTTGCTCTTTCCCTCTTTCACTACTACCTCATGGCTCAAGTAACAACACTTTGTATGTTAAGCTTTTGAAAATTTGTCCTTAAAAAAAATCTCTTAACTGAAACCTTATCTTGTGCTAATTTCCATATTAGCCCAGTATATTCTAGGTAATAAATCTGTAAAATTTTTTAAATCTCAGCCGTAATGATTACTTATATACTTCTGTATTCTAGCAGTATCGTGCTCTTTTAAAGAAAATGAAATATTTAAATGGATAAACATCTCTTTCATTAGGTGTTTCTGATCATTTTAAACTTGGAAAACTACTTGCCATCATCCTTCTAGAACTAGTCTAAAAGGGCTAATATTTTGGGTCAGAAGATATTTTAATATTGCTGCTTAAAATTATTTTTAAGTAGGGACTTACTCTCCTTCCCTATGAGGGAAAAAAAGGGCCCATAAGGGACTTACTACCCATTCACTGATGTTCTTTCCAAGTACTCTTCTTCCTGCTATCCCAAGTGTGTATAAGATGTGCTTCTAAGAAGATGTGGATGCCTTTAAATCTGGCATCCTCTTCTGTGATAATCTCCAAGTTGAAAGTCCCCAGGCTGTAAGCCTGCACCTTCACAGGGTCTCCTTAGCCCACATCTCTTTCTGGAGAGCAGCCTGAAGGCATAAGGATGGTCATTGCACAACAAGGGCACTGGATTCTCCTCCGCAAGGGGCTGAAGATTTGAACACGGATATGCTTTTGTTCTGTTCTGTGTCCTCTTGGTTGTCTGTAAGCAGTGTATCAAAGTTTAATTTTTTTTTTTTTTTTTAAATCTGCTGGTTGTGTGTCTGTCATCCTCCTTCCTGTACTTCCCGTTCCCTGTGTTCAGAACAGACACTTGTTAATGTCAGGCTGGGAGGTTTCACCTGTCTGCCCCTCACGTTATCTGCTGGTTGGGGAATGCTTTGGAAATGGCTTTCTGCTATAGGAGCCTTGAGGCGTGAGCCTGCCTCCTCTACCCTATGGCCCAGCCCAGGGTGCACTGGAGTCCCCTCCTGTCACCAGCACCACTTAGCTGCATTTGCAGTCTGCATCTTTTCAGGGTTGTCAGATGTAATATGTGCATGACCTGCAGATGTCCGGGGCTTCAGTGGTTCTCAAATCCAACCACACATCAGAATCACTTTGTGAACTTTTTTTTTCCGTTTAGCATGTTGAAACAGATAAGTGGAAGAAGAAATAAAAATAACACATAATTCTGTGAGTGACAGTCCCTTCCTGACATTAAAAAAAAAAGCAAAGGTGTACTTGGTTAAAGAATGCAAATAGTACTAATTGAAAAGTAAAAGCCTCCCTGTGCTCACCACGGTTCTTTTCCTCAAGAGTGTTATTAGCAGATGTTTTGTTTTTAACTTCCACAATATTTTCTGCACATACCAGCATATATCTGTTGGTCATCTACTGATATAAATAGGTATTTATGTGTATATATGTATATGTGTGTGCACACAAGCACACACACATATATATAAAAAAAATTAGAAATTGTGTTTTAAACTGTAGTGGTCTTCTGCCCCTTGATTTATTAGTTTTTAAAATTTAGTATATCTTGAAGATTTTTTCATTCTGATACATGTAAAGCTACCTTGTTCTTTTTTATGGCTGCATAATATTCCATAGAACATTCTGGCGAATGTACCAAAATTATGTAATCACTCTCTTGTTGATTAATGTGTTGGTTGTTCCCAGTTCTTTGCTGTTACACACAGTGATGCAGGGGACATCCTTGTCCACGTCTCCCTATAAAGTTTTGCAAGTATAATATTCTTGGCAGGGGGATTGCTGAGCCAAGGGATGCATGCATTTTAAATTCTGATAGACCCTCCCCAGTGATTATACAGTTTATACCTGGGGAAATATTTTTTAAAATATAGGTTTCCTGGGCCCCACCCCAGACCTACTAAATTTACAGTTTCTAGCAGTGGTATTTGAGAATCTCTAAAACACAGCTTTCAAGGTGATTCTGATGTGCCCAGTTCTCTGACAGCATTTGAGAACCACTGTAGAAGAAGTGGGACAATTTGCCCAGCTGTGACGTCTGAGCTGTTTGGTAAGCTCTGGTAAATGGTGCACACCAAAAGGTGACGCTGAGAACGGGCACCTCAGGGAAGCTGACCAAACCTGCTCGCACATTGTTTGTGGGAAGGCTGTTTTGCAGGAGAGCATTCCTTGAGCTCTTGCCTTGTTTGGCTCCCTGGACAGAAACTGTATGAAGTGGTTCTAAGGGCTGTGTCTTAAGCTCTTTTCACTCTGTGGCAGGTTGGCTCTAATTGGTGCCTGTCACACTTAACCCCAAGTTTACCTGTTTTTTGCGCCCAAAGAGTCCTTTTGCCTCAGTAAATCCAAGCTTTTCCAAATCAAGTTGACTTTAAAGTTCTGCTTATGGAGACCCTAATGAAGACTACCTGTGCAGTGAAAAGGAGCAAACACTCAACTCGGGGTCTGCCCACATGCCTCTGAGAGTTGTTTTAACATTCCAGAATCTTCCATTTAAAGAAAGGAGCCTCTTTTTTTTTTTTTTAGTATTCCTCTAGCCGAAAGCTAACATACATTGAGCTTCATTTCCTCCCTTGACCAGTGAAGTCCTTTGTTCCCTGGGCAGAAACCCATTGTATTTCTGGGAGAGGTTGCTGGAACTCTTGGGCTCCTGTTGAAAGCTTATCAGACCAGGGTAGAATCACCATGCCATTTGGCTCACTTCCCTCTTGGAAAGTCTAATCTTTAGTTCCGGAAAGACTTGGGCTGGTGCAAGCTCTACAGATAGAGCTGCATTTACGAGAGTGTGTTTGTATTGAGCTTTTCGTTCAAGCAGGATTCTCAGTTAGCGTTAACTGAGGCGAGGCTGGTGTCTCTGTGCAGCAAGCAGAACTGCATATTTCCTCTGAAGCAGGAGGAGGTGGTAAACATAGGTTGGGGCTGCGGCTAGGGCGGTGGTTGTTGGGGTGGGAACAGTGATTGGTTTTTACTTAGCTGTTTTGATGAGTGGGTTTTGTTGCTGTTGTTAGAATTTATGCTTTTCTGAGGTTTGTATGTACTAACCATCGCCCTTCCCCACTTCACAGAATGTCACATTAAAGCCCAGGCAAATTCTGCTCTTTCTGTTCATCTGTGTAGGGAACTCTCAACTTTGGTGGGATCAGGGTGGGCAACGGACCGACAGAGGAGGATGCTGAGATTATTCAGCATGACCAGCTCTCCACCCATTCAGAGGACACGGAAGAGGTAAGATCCAGTGGTGTGGGCCTTCTCTCCTTCCACCTCGGCCAGCCCTAGTCTTGAATACCTCAGAGGCCTCACTCCAGTCTTCTCCTTGAAAAATAAAAACTCTAATACTAGTAATCAGCCTGCCTCTGGACCTCTTGGGGCACCACAGCTTTTTCCAGTGGGCCACTGCTCTAAACTCCAGGGCTGCCCGCAGAACCCACAGCAGTTTTGTTCGGTTTTTCTGTTGTTGCTTCTTAAATTCCGTGTTACATGCAGTACTCTGCATGCAGATCTCAATGACTAGCTCTACCCAGGACCCAGGCAGCATAGGCCCCAGCGTCCCAGTTCCTATTACCATAAACAGACCATTTATGAGAGCTGCTTCATCCCTTTTCCCTTTCAAGAATCGTTCTAATTACATGACTGTAATCCCTGGTACTTTTTTGAAGTCCTATCCCGTTGATTTGCTCTTGTTGCAGATATGTTACTTTAGTGTTTTTTAAAAAAAATAAGTTATTTGCCTACTTTTTACAGGGAGAGTGAAAAACAGTAAGGCCAGGCTAGACTTTTCTTAATATACCACCTCCAAGCTCAGTTTTTTAAAATCCAGTCTCCTTGCCTGACCACAAGCAGCACAAAACCTCTGAACAAAACTTTTGAATCTCATCCATTTATGATGTTCTTTTTAAAGCAAATAGGAGTTGAGACCCAGGTGACTGGACGTTTCAGTCCATCTGACCACTTTCACTACATAGATGACTTTTTAACAAAGAAATTGCAAGGGTCGGGGGCCTTTTACAAGTATGTATCTTAATGCTTTAAATCCCTGCTGATTTCGCTTTCCATGTATGCTGAGGAGTTCTTCCTCCAACATGTTAACCCCATGTAGCATTAACAGTCCTTCCCAAGAAGCAATAATAGCCTTGTGCTCATGACTTGTAATTTTGTGTGTGGTGTGGCTTCCCACTAAGTGTAAATTTATGTTTTCAAGCCTACCGAGGACGAAGTGGTAAGATGAAAGCCGGCTCTGCCGTCATGTTTATCTGGGCTTCTCTTCCCATCCTTGTGATCACTCTGCTGACCCTGTTGCACCCTGGGGCCCTACATGACACTGTGCATCCTGCATCTCACTGGCCACTTGTAACCAGTGTGTGAACCTGTGCTCTGAAAAAGCTTATCTCCATTAACTGCATCTCATGTCGGTCACCTCTGTCCTTGTGTCATTGACTCTGCTGATCTAGTACCTCTGAGAATGGCTTTGAAAGGAGCTACAAGTAATGTCTGCATTGGCATTCTTGAAGTGACTCCCTTTGGGGGTTAAGTCCTATTGGCTTTGGCCATCCTCTCCTGTGATGTTGTGGTTGCTCTGCCACTGGGAGTAGCTGTGTTTCCTCCTGCTCCTCTGAGTGTTTATGAGCAAAGCTCACCCTTCCTCCCTGTCTGAGATGCAGCCAGTCTCTTCCTGCTGCCCTCATCAGCTTGATGCTTGGACCCTTGCTCGAAGTCAGCTGTACCTCCATGTGGCCTAGGCATGGGAGGTAGACAGCTTTCAAAAGGAGGCTTTACCTCTCAGATACACCCCAGAAAAATCAATCCATCTGCATAACAGGAACTCATATTATATACACTAGCCACACAGAGAGAGTATAGCAGAGAGAGGAAAAAAAGTTGGCTAAAAATTCAAGAGGCCACATCTGGAGTAGATGACCTTCTAGCCTAGCAATAATTCATTTAGCAGTACACAGGTTTTGGATTTGGGTTTTTTAAGGCCTTGCTGCACTGTTTACATCTTCCCCCAAAATTTCTCTAAAATACCTAGACCCAAGAACTGTACCTTTACCCTCCTGGCTCTTCTGGTCTAAGGGGGCAGTAGGATGGGAATGGGAAAACCTTTCTGTTCTGTGTGAAAACAGGGCTGGAGAGGCTCCTCTATTAGTGCCGAGGAGGCCCTGTGTTCCTCTGGGTCAGTCACCTGTGCACAGTCGCTGGCTGAGCTGCCTGGAGGGGCTGATGGGAGTGTCCTCATGTGAGTGAGGAGCCCAGCCCCCTCCCAGTAACACCACCTCCACCATGCTGCTTTGTAACTGTCTTTCTAGTGGAGCACCCAATGCCATGGTCATGGTCCGAACGGGGTTGTTGTGTACCAACGTCCTCATTTGTAGCCACGTCCCAGGGAGTTTGGACATGTAAGCAAGATGTACTGCAATTCAGTCTGCCCAGTCTCTGGGGGTTCAGCTTCCCTTGGCTTCCTAAGTAGTCATAACATTTTATCTTTTTCAGGCACACACAGTCTAGTTCTCTGCAGCCAAATTTAGATAACTGTGGCAGCTATCTAAAGATTTCAGACAAAACAGGTTTTTTAAAAAGTCCAGCCTGTTTCTTCTAGAACTTCCCAATTTTCCCCTGGCTGTGAAAACCTGTTTGCCTCGTGCAGGATGTTGGTCCAGCCCAGTGGAAGCAGCAGTCCCTCTATGGGGGGCACTCAGGCCAACTGCACACCAGGCCAGTAGATTGTCTGGGAAATCTTTGCAGGTTACAGCCACTCAGCAAAGATCAGCAGCACCTCTCCCTCCCATCAGTTTCTTCTCTCCAGGTGCGTTCATCTCATCCATATATTCACTCATCTCACCGTCCATTCATTCACTCCACCCACCCATCCTTTCACTCATCCACCCTCCATGTGCCAAGCACTATGTTTGCTGCTGCAGAAACTGAGGGAAAAAAAAAGTCCTCCCCTTCAAGGAACTCCCAGACAAATTGAGGAGACAGCCTGGTGATAGGTGCTGGGCTAGAGGTGTGCCCAGGATGCTGTGGGAGCACAGAGGAGGGCACCTGACGAACCCTGGGGTGGGCTGGTGAAGAGGAGACCAGAAAAGGACTCCCTCCCTAAGGAAGGATGTTCCCTAGGGTTAGTCTGGTCAAGCAAGAGTCTGTGGAGGGGGAAGGGGAGACTGACCCACTGGTATGTATACTTACTGTAAAGGCACAGAGGCCTGCGGGCCCATCACATTTGGGGGATAAACAAGTATTCAGCTTCGCTGGAGCAGAGTCAGGAGTTGGGGGATGGTGAGAGGTGAGACTAGAGGTTGGCATATGTCAGCAATAGCAGGGTGTTTGAGCTGCAAGGAGCCTTCAGAAGGCGGTGAAGCTGGAAGTGACCCAGCCACACGTACATTGCCGAAATACTCCTAGTGGTATGTTGGATTGGGGAAGGGGCACAGTCTCAAGACTTGGGAACCAGTTAGTCTGATACGATTGAGCAAAGAATTGGGGAGCCTGAAGTGAATGATGTAAGGCATTTGTAGGGGGAGTTGCAAAGGATGGGACCAGCGTGAGGTATTAAGGAGGTAGAAGCTAGAGGTTCTAGTGCCTTAATGGGTTTAGGGGCTGAGAGTGTGTGAAGATTCAAGATTGACTTCCAGGCTTGGGTACCGGGGGGCAGTGGTACTGCCCCTTTATTAGATGTGGGACATGGAGTAGAAGTAGGTCTTGGTGGGGTCAGAGGAGAGCAATCAGCTAGGTTAGTTGGGGTGGTGGTGAGTTTGAAGTGCCTGTGGTATGCCCAGGAGGGGATGTAGCACAGCCAGTTGGAAATGAGCAACATGGAGTGGGCGGGGACATGTTCATTTCAGAGTCACTCCTGGTGGTGGCCATTGAAACCCTGAGTGGCGATTCCACAGGAAAGATGTAAGGGCTGAGGCTGGAGCTCCAGGGAACACCAGCATTTAAGGAAGACAAACCATGACAGACACTGAAAGGAATGTCCAGAGAGTCAGGAGGAAAACCAAGGGGAGTCAAGCATCTCAAGAGGAAGGAAGAGGCAGTATTGACAGATAACTGCTGAGGCTCAGTCAGGACTGTAGAGTGTCTGTTAGTTAATGACTGGGAGGTAAGGGTGATCTTGCTTAGATGGGCTGGTTTGTGGAGCAGAGAGGGTAGAAGCCAGGGCACAGGAGGGTGAGGAGTGGCTGGGCAGTGAGGAAGCCAAGGTATAAAGTGTAGACAAAGAGTCCACAGAGACTCAAGGTCAGAGTCATAGCTGCCATAGATTGGGCACGTACTGAGTGGCAGACCCCTTCTCCATGCGTGGCTGGATTTCTCATTTAATTCTCACCTCTGAGGCAGGTACCGTTATTTTCTCCATTGTGTAGATGAGAAAACTTGCCCAGGGTTACAAAGGTGAAGTTGGGAATGAAGGAGAGGAGAAAGTGAAGGTTGTGCCTCCAAGGGAAGCTTCCTCACTCCTTTCCTTTCCTTGTTTTAATAGGAGAAACTTGAGGTGGAGTAAAATGCTGAAAGGGTCTGGCCGAGTGGCCACTGTTTTTGGTGAGCTCATCACAGTAAAGGCCTCACTCCTTGGAGCTGGGAACTTTTCCTTCCTCTGAGTAGGGGCTTTAGGGGGACAGCCAGCAGTGGTGGGAAAGACTCTTAACAGCACTGAGGTTTGTCAGTGTAACTAGGAGGTTTGAAGAGTCTATTCCAGGAAAAAAGCCAGAAATACGCTGTGTGTGGATAGTCAGAGGTGAGGGGAAATGAGGCGTTGACCCAGAGATGGTGTATTGGAGCCGGCACCTTTCCCCCCTGGCCACACCCCTACTGCCTGCACTGTCCTGGCCCCAGCAGCCCAGCCCCTTTCTCAAGTCCTGCCTGACTGAATTTCCCAAGGCATTGTGGGTAGCCTTTGAGAGTCATGTGAGTCTTAAAAGAAACTGTGGTGGAAGATAAACTCTGCCCTTGGCCCTGTGAGGCTCTGACTGAGAAGAAGCGTTCAGGTGGATAGGGAGGCCGGCCGTGCCTGCCCTGTGTGCACATGCTTCTGGGATTCTGGTCTAGGCACTGTGGGCAGGGAGCCTGGAGGAGTAGAACCACCAGCTGTTCTTCAGTGGGTGGTTGACTGCTCCACCTAGGATCGTGAGACCGCAGGAAAAGCACTTGGTGCTTCTGTAGCCGCCGAGTTGCTTTCCATTCAGGCTAGTATTCACCCCTAACTGTGCTTGGAGCAGTCTTAAAAGTGAACTCCTGAGAGCTTGTACCTGCCCCACCCCTTTTCTCTGGAAATAATTCTTGATGTTGAAAGGAAAACTGGGAATAAAGGGAGGGTGAGGAAAACAAAATCAGGAGATGTTCTGTTTGACCTTCATGAAATACCCATGGAGGAATTTGTGAAACTTTTGCAAAAATTTCCCTGTTCACTCTTTTCAGAAGTCACAAAGAAAAAGGAGGTAATCTTGCTCCCAAAAGGTTGTAAAAATAATAAGTGGCCATAGAGGTTTAGCATTTCTCCAGGCGCTTTCTAACCTGATGTCTGTCTCCTGGGGCACAGTCTGGGGTCAGTCCCTTCCCACTTTTATGGATTTTTCAGAGCAGGGGTGCTTCCTCACTGGCACCCATAAGGTGGAAATCAGCTAGAGCAGGGTCCACCAGCAAGTCCTTGTGGTACCAGGTCCAGACGGTCATTTTCTCTACTGAGTGCTCTACCTCGACAGACACTGTGCTCAAGCTCACAGCCTAACAGAGAGAAAAAAACAAACGTGCTGAGAAAGTCTAATCAAGATATAGTTTGTTAAAATTTAGTGTACTGAGGGAAGTGGGGGTGTCCAAGCTGGCGGCTTAGCCAGGCAGGATTCTGAGGAAGGCTGAAATCACCTAAGTTCTACAGTGAGTGTTGAGTTCAGCACTGGTGCCCCTGGCCTCTCCAGGGCGAGGCACCAGCTGGCAGAAGGGCACTCCCCTGCCTTTGCTCAGGCAGCTGTTAGTGGCAGTGCTCAGGCCCAGGCTCAACGTGCCGAGGCTTCTGGCACATTCCCCTCCTCGCCTCTTATCTTGTCTCTGATTTCCTCCCTTGACAGTTTGACTTTGGGGATACCATGGTCCACCAGGCCATCCACACCATTGAGTACTGCCTCGGCTGCATCTCCAACACTGCCTCCTACCTGCGACTCTGGGCCCTCAGCCTCGCTCACGCACGTGAGTATAGTTCTCCCAGACAGAGAACTATGGGCTTCCCCTTCTCGGGGTACTCTCAGGTGGGGGTTTAAATAGAGTGGAATTATATAAAGGTTCTGGAATTCATCAGGCTCCTGATCGAGGAAGCACGATGTCTCAGATGAGGGGTCAGCACTTTGCCAGGTCAGGTACGTGTAGTGGTCCCATTAAGGCTGCAGGTAACCCTGCAGTGGAGGCATGGCAGAGCAAAACACAAGGCCCACAGCTGCTGCTTGCCAAGCTGAACTGATAATTTTGTCTCTCCTCGTTCCCCAGAGCTGTCTGAGGTGCTTTGGACCATGGTGATCCACATCGGCCTGAGCGTGAAGAGCTTGGCAGGAGGCTTGGCACTGTTCTTTATCTTCGCCGCCTTTGCCACCCTGACTGTGGCCATCCTCCTGATCATGGAGGGCCTTTCGGCCTTCCTGCATGCACTGCGGTTACACTGGTGAGCAGTGGGGGCAGTAGTGGGGGGGTGTCCTTAGCTACACTGAGAGGATGGCTGCTCTCCTATATAGGATCCCAGTGTCTTCACTGGGAAGGGATGGGTATCCAGCCAGGCAGGAAGTGCCTGCTGTCTCATCACTGCACCCTAGGGCCCTCTTAGTAGTGAACATCAGAAAAGGCCCACAGAAAGGCACAGCTCCCTTTGGAAGTGAGCTCATCTTCTCACAGCCTCCAGGGAGAGGTCTCTGGCGGATGGTGTTGGGTTACCTCTCCCTGCCTTGAGAATTCTCAGGGCTCTTAATTGTGGCTTAAAAGAGCTGCTGAGGTTTGGGCTTTTTCATTTATTTGGGGGTTTGTTTTTGTTTTTCCTTTTTGCTCTGGCATGTAATTTTCTCCTGTCTTCAGAGTAATGAAAGCAGCTCTGAAAATAGATTCTAAGTCCATAGAAGTGCTAGAGCACACTGCACCCCAGCTCTGCCCCCTTTGTTCTGTCTTGTACCAGTGGTCTTTTGGCAAGGACCCCTGGCAGCTCTGTTGTGTGGTGGGGGAATTCCTGGTTCCGTAGCTTGTAGCTCAGTGCACTAAAGTAGCTTCTGCAGAAGGGCAGGTAGGTTTTGTGTTTTGTGTGTGTGTTGTATTTAACATAGTTTGTAGCTCTTAAAAGGAGCCCTGGTGGCACAGTGGTTAAGCACTTGGCTGCTAACCTTAGTGGTTTGAACCCACCAGTTACTCTGCAGGAGAAAGATGTGGCAGTCTGCTTCTGCTTCCAAAAAGGCTTACAGCCTTGGAAACCCTATGGGGCAGTTCTACTCTGTCCCGTAGGGTTGCTATGAGTCAGAATTGACTTGACGGCAGGAGGTTTTTGGGTAGCTCTTAATGGCTCTGTATAGAGACAGCCCAGTCCCAGGGGGTGAGAGAACTGGGTGACTCTGTGACCTCAAACTAGGGCTGCCAGATTTAACAAATAAAAATATAGGACACCCAGTTAAATTTTAATTTCAGATAAACAACGAATACTTTTTCAAGTATAAATATGTCGCAAACGTTGCATGGGACAGACTTAACTAAAAGCCAGGCCACCTGTATTTTATCTGGCACTCCTACCTCAAACAGGTCACTCTTAGGTCTCCATTTTCTCCTCTGTGTTGTGAGTCTTCCTCTTTTTTGGGGTCTCTGGAAGCTCTGGACACTCTTTCTAGAGAAACACACACACTCTTGCAGGCTTGGGAGATGGTAAACTCCCTGGCCCCACCTTAGGGAGCCCTGGACTAGGTGATCTTTATGGGATGAATCATCTCAAGGCCAGTAGAGGGCTTTGAATATCTCCTTCCATTAGTTCTCCATACCTGAAAGAAAATCCCGAGTCTCACCCTGGGAAAACTCTTCCCCACAGGGCAAAGGTTGTCTTCCCCTTATCTTTGATTTTTCTCCTGGCTCAGTTACAGCTGAGCCACCTCAAAGACTCAGCTTTTTGTTATTCTAAATTACAGAGGGGAAAAGTGAGGCATGTAAGGGCCAGAGTGTCTGGGACTTACTCTTCCCTAAAGAGCTTCTTTAGAAGAATCTGTCCTGCTGCCTCAGTCAACACAGCTTTCTCTGGCCTGGCTTTCTCCCTGCTCGCCTCCCTCCTCCCCATCCGGCTCTTGTGTTTTATGTAGAGCCAGCGAGGTGTGTGTTTCAGACTGCTGGTGCGCTAGGCTCTTCTCAGCTTCTCCGTGTCCTCTCTCCCCAGCACACTTCTTTAGCCACTTGGTGTGAGGGAACGTCTGAGTAACCAGCCTGTGGTGACTCACTTTTTCTTGCCCTCTTGGCGTCTTTCCTTTCCTGCTCACATCTCTGTCTCTGAGCCCTTTGGCTGAGGGAACAGTTACTTCCCCATTTTGATTGCAGCCCAAGAGGGTTGCTTCCTCCCTGGACAAGAACTGTCAGACAGATCAGTAAGCAAGGCACATCGGGACACAAGGAAGGTCACCTGGGCCTGGGCCTAATCTCCAGAGCTTAAGGCTTGCTCCATTGTACAAGTCCACAGTGAGCTGAGGCAGTTTTGGATGCCATGTTTTCTTGCCAGAAGGATTACTTTTCCTTCAGGCTCACCTGTGGCCTTCAAGTGAAAGTGTCTTCCCGTGTCCTCATAGGCCTGACGGAGAGATGAGTGACAAGACAGCAGGCTTCAGAGTTGGGCTGACCTGGGTCTGAATTCAGCTCTGCCGGCACAGAATCAGCTAAGCAAAGCACTTACCTCTCTGAACCTCACTTTCTCTCATTTGAAAAAAAGAGGATAATATCCATGTGACAAAGTGATTGTGATTGAATATTAAATAATGCATGTACCAAGTGTCTGCCGTGGTGCCCTGGCACATCATACACAGGTGTCCAAGTACAATCACCCTGCTCTGCTTAAGTTGGAATGCCCTGTAGAGAGGGTACCTGGCTGCGGTCCCCTGTGAAGAAACTGCTTTTAGCCAGTGTAGAGAGAGGGGAGAGCCTGTGCGGAGGCACGTGGCAGCTCTGAATGTCCCTTGGATTTGCAGGGAACAGGCTCGCCACACATGCTGTACTTTTTTTTTCCTGGTAGTAGAAGTAGTGAGTAAAGAGGAAAAAATGTGAAACACTCCTTTGTGAAACTTTTAGAATCCAATCATTAGAGGGTGGTCAGGTGTGGCATGTTGTTGAGGAGACTACCCCACCCCTGAAAAAGCAGTGAATGAAATTGGTGCTTGTGCACCCCATCCTGGCCGAATGTAGGTGTGCTTCGAGGATTCTTGGGTCTTCCAAGTGGAGCCAGGACTGCAGGAGGAGTTCTGAGCTGTGGCCATCTTGTGAGGGGTGGCAACAGCTGTCCTGCTGAAAATGGCTGCAGGGATTTTGCTGCTATCTTTCCTGGCGTCCAGCCTGGGCATCTCCCTACCTCTCACTTTACCTCTGGTGTTGAGCTGGGGTTTCCTGGTTCTGATGCATGGGCTGTCCCATTATACATGTCCTGGGTCTCTTCAGTGGGGACAAGAAGAAAACCATTTGATTGAATAGCAAATATAAACCACTAATCTGAGATTCATGCATAAGAGTCATAAGTAGGTGGTTGAAATATTTGAAAACCATTGGTTAATGTACTAATCGGCTAATTCTGTCTCCTGCTGAGTTATGTCTCTTTTCTTCCCACCTACCATGGACAATGTGCTTGACTTTCCTGTCTACCACGATTAGACAGGCTTACTTTATTATAAGAGGCATGAGGCAGAGATACAATTTGTTGTTACAGATACAGGCACCAAACCGATTTAATGCAGGAAGATTGTCATCCCATGGCCTGCCCTCAAAGGAGCCTGGTCCCTTCTTATCTAGCAGATGTAAATACATGCAGGTGTGCACACTGGCACACTCACAGATTGGTGGTTAAAGGGACAGAATTAGGGGCCAGTTTGCTGTCAGGAATGCAGTGGTGCAGCAGCATGACAGCGTGAGAGAGTGGAGGGAACGGCTGCCCCAGGAGAAGCGAGAACCCCTGAAACATAGTCCCAGGCTGATGTCATCACCCGACATTTGGGCCACCTGACAGATGTGCATTCTGGGAGCCCTGAACTGCTCAGAGAGAGGCATAAAGGGCCAGAGAAGCAGCTTGGCACAGACACATCTATCCAAAAGTGTCTCTCCTCCATCACACCCCCACCAGGAAAGGGAAGAGGCCCCAGAACTCCTTCCTTTTTCGCCCACTCAAGGAAATGAGGTTTCCTGTTACGTGCCAGGAATGGTCTCTCTGTGGTCCCCAGTTAGTCCCTCTGGGAGCTGGACAGGTTACAGAGAAGCTCATCTGACTTCCTGAGGCTCCCTTCACAACTGCTGACTCCTAGAGGTATATGGCAGGGCCCTGGAGGCCTCCCGAGCAGAGCAGTGTAGTATGCCCCTGAAGAAGGCAGAATTCACGGGTGGGCAGCAGGCCCTTCTCCGCCCAGGCACAGAGAACTTCATGTTTGTAGTCTCTCAGGAAGCACATGCTTCCCTGGCTTGGGGGAAGAGAGGGTGGAGTAGATGACAGGGAAATGGCTTTCCAGCTTTGTACTCGGAGGTTGAGGGCATCTTGGAAGGGAAGTGAAGTCAGGTTGACCCCGAGATAGACCCACTGAGACTCTGACCTAGAGCAGCAGCTGGTGGGAGAGGTGGTATCGGGTGGGTGTCAGGGACCTGCCTGTCATCTTCCACAGCGCTGTGGGCAGAATGCCCTCATCGAAGGCACATGTCCCCCTTCCTCCACCCGGGCCCGGCTGTGTGCATGAGGCTCACAGAGGGGTGCCACAAGAATCGTGGTGATGCTATGGGCATCTGAAAAGGGATCTTCCACTCGCCCAGGTTGGATTTAGAATTGTTTGTGTGATGGGTCAGCCAGATGGTCAGGGTTCTGGACACCTCACTGGGATGGGGGTGAGGGAATCATAACTCACCATGGCTAATATTTGCCCCTAGGTAATGGTCTGGGACCCTAAGGTGACTTGTCCAGTGTCCAGGTCTGTATTGTTGAATGAAAAGGAGACATGAAAATTATTTTTGATTGTTCAGAAATATCGTTGACATATGGGAACACAGCCTACTCAACATGAAGAATTTAGACCCAACAGAAAACTGCCCCCATCCTCCACCCAGCTCCCCAGAGTGGCCTCAGTAGCTGGAACAGATAGAAGGACTTCTTAGGGTTGCTGGGACTGGGGCGGGGGTGTGAGGGGTGGGGGAGTGTGGCAAGGAATCAGGTCCCAGGTTTTGAATCTCTTTTGCCAGGAATACTATGACTAGCCTCAGTTCAAAGCTCCCTCACATGTGCCCCATCCCACTCCCTTGTCCTGGACCCTGTTTTCCAGGAGGGAACTCGGCCCAGGCACTGATGGAAACCTTCCAGGGCCTGAGAGGCTTTGGGACCTTGGCCCAGCCCCTGTGGAATGTGGGGTGGGGAGGGAAGCAGCCTGTCCGTACTCCGACACAAATTCTGCTTTTCCCCTGGGGGTGGAGCTGGCAGCTCTGCCACCCAGTGTCCTCAGCCAGCACCCTGGGACTGAAGGGGCAGCTGAGGACCTCTTGATGCCACTGGTAGACAGGCAGTCACGATCCATGGGCCCCGGGCCACTTCCCACCACCTTTAACTCCTGCTTTCTGGGTTTGGACTGTGGAAGCCCCAGCTGAGGGCTAAATGGGGCCAAGGGGACTGAAGAACTGACAGCTTCTGAAAGCCTTTGTCTGCACATGGCCCATTACCTGAAGCCTGTCACAGCCTCACTCTGGCTGTTCTTCAGGGGTTATGGTACCCCCGGGTCACATAGCACAAGTGGAAACTATTCCTCAGGGCAGCTCCCTTTGGCTTTTTTATCGTCTGATCATGCATTTTTCTGCCCATATTTGGTGGCGGTTTGGTTGCTGGCAGCCCTCCAGGTTATGTGTGCAAGGGAAGCCCGGCCAGGCAGCCTCACTCTCGCTCTGCTAACAGGATCAAGGGCTTCTCCCTGCCCCTCAGCGTCCCAAGGGCCCCAAGGAGACGCTAGGCATGGATGCTGAACTGCCTGGGAAGGGAGTTCAGGTTCTGTTTTTCCTTTTAGTCCCCAAGAGAAGAATTCTTTCTCTCAGATGTTTTTGTGGTTTGAGAATAGTTTTTTGCCATTGCTTTGAGAAGACTTCCCTTCCTAACTTCCTGCCTTTCCTAGGAATTTCCTCCACTAAATCGAAAACTTCCACCTTTTACTTGCAGCCCCTCCTCCTTTCCCCACCTCCCAGAAAAAAAAAAAACAACACAGTGGTGTTTGGCCAGTTTTCCCAGGGTCCCTTACACTGGACCTCCGCTCCCGGGCCTCCCTCAGAGGTCTGCTGTGTGAGCCACCGGCCAAAGAGGGGAGCTTGGGGAGGGTTTCTAGGTCAGCTGCAGATTAGGAGTATATTCCCAGGAAATTCTAGAAAAAAATCAGAGGAAAGGAATGAATATTCTTCATTATTATTATTAGAGGTTTAAGCCAATTTAGCTTTTTTGCACATGGCTGTCTCCGGAGTGTATTGCATAAGCACACTCTGCTCAGCAGGACAAAGCAAGAGCAGGACCTGAGGACAAACTGATCTATTCGTATGCAGAACTCACACTGAGGGCCAGGTCCTCAGCTTAAAAAGCAAGAGCTAGCATGGACCCCGGACTCTGTCAGCCCGGAACTAAAACAATTCCCAAGGCCAACTGTTCAGACAAAGATTGGACTGGACTATGGGACATAAAATGATACTTGTGAAAAGTGTGCTTCTTGGCTCAAGCAGATACATGAGACTAAATGGGCGGCTTCTGTCCGGAGGCGAGATGAGAAGGCAGAGAGGGTTAAGAGCTGGTTGAATGGACACGGGAAATCGGGTGGAAAGGAGGAGAGTGCTGTCATAGTATAGGGAGAGCAACTAGGGTCACATGACAATGTATGTATAAATTTTTGTATGAGAGACTAACTTGAATTGTAAACTCTCACTTAAACTACAACAATAAAAAAGGAAAAAAAAAAAGCATGAGCTTTGCACCGTGGGAAGTGGGCTTGAGTGTGGGCTTTATGAGCTGGGAGGCAGAGCTGCAGTTCCCAAGCTCATCCAGGAAAGTGAAGCTGAGAGGAGGCTTGGGTTGGGCAGGGCATCTTTCTGGCCCCACTATGAAGTCCCAAAAGATTTCTGTGGAATGATGACTTTCTTATTCCTTCTCCCCAGGGTCGAGTTCCAGAATAAATTCTACAGCGGGACCGGTTTCAAGTTCCTGCCCTTCTCCTTCGAGCACATTCGGGAAGGGAAGTTTGAGGAGTGAGCCCCTCATGGGGCTGGTGTGCCCCAGGCTACCCTCCCTGCCTTCTCCACGATGATTAGCTGTGCTTCTGTTGCCTGCTGGTTGTGGACCCTGAGCACCAGAGCATTTGTGTCATCCCTGACACCCTCCCCCTGCTGTCTGTGAGTCACTTAGAACCAGCCCTACCTGGGTCTCCCTGTGCCACCCCTAGCTTTGTGTGTAGTGAGTTTCTAAAGAGAAGCTGGGCTTTGGCTGGCACTCAGCCACCCACTGGGCACCAGCTATGTCTCCTCAGCCTTCATCCAGCCAGATAGCCCCTTCTCTGTCCGCTAGTGGTACCCCAGTTTGTACGTTCACACTCACATGAACCCTTTGGGTCAGAGTGCTTGTTAATCCGGAATTTGGCTAGACCCAACCGGGCCATCATGGGTGACTGCTCCCTGTCACCCCCAAGGTCCCAAGGTATTCAACACCACCTTCCTCCCCCCATTTCACACTCATATCCTCTCCTCCCCCTTCCCAGATCTCTCCCTGAGAGTGACCCAGAACAGGTCCTGGCTGGCTCCTTAGCACACGGTGCTCCCCTCTCTTTGGTTGCTGCTTTCTGTCTCTTGCTCCCCTAGGCCTTACACAGGCCCTGGTTGCAAGTGTGCCATCTAGAGGGAGGGTTCAGATTGATGCTCTTTCCTGGTGGAGACCCCGAGACCCTCCCCACCCAATCATGATGTCTTAGAGTGCAAGGCTGTCATCCTCAGGGTGGTCTGTCTGCAGCCTGCTCTGCCCACCAGTGCCCCTTCCCTCTGCACGGACCCCAAGTCACGGCACTGATATCCTGGGCATGGCAGGGCAGCATCATTGACGGCTGCTGGTTGGAGGTGGCTGGCTGGGCTACCCTGCCCTGCCCTGGGAGCTGGTGGGGAGCACTCTGAGGGGCCCCACCCCTGCCACCCCCGCACTGGTGTGTCAAGCTTAGGCCCATTAATCATGTGTTGGTGCAGCAGCCCTGGCTGCTCTGACTAAATTGATCCCCACCGCCTTCAGTGACAGACAGTTCCCTGAGTTCCACTCACTCGGCTGTCCCAGGCTGAGCTGGCCCTCGGCCTGGGCCACGCCCACACTTCCCTGTGCTCAGTGCTGTGAGGTGCTTCGTGTGATGTGACCTGACTCAGACCTAGACCTTGTGCAGAGCCCCGTCCTCTCTTACCCCTGTGGTTTACTTGATGATCTTTGCCCTGTTTACAGAGGGGTTTGAAGCAGAGTTCTTTGTCAGGGAACCCTGCTCAAGGCCCTTCTGTTAGACATTCCTGTGCTGAATAAAGTGTGTTTGACTCCACTGGGAAGGCTGCCTGTCTCTGTGCCCACAGCCCCAGTCATCAAACGGTCAGTGCTAACCTGCCCTTCCCAGGACACGGCTCCCACGACTTGGGGTCAGTGCAGTAGTGGGGAGGGGCACTGGTGTCCCTAGAGCCTATCTGGTACCCTACACCTCCCTCCTCCAACTTTCTTGCTTTTCTTTCTGATCAGAGGCCACAGCTGCAGTGGCCCTGGCTAGGCAGTTACTTTTTGAAATTCTCACCTTATCTCAAGTTTCACAGGTGCCTTCCCACTCCCATGAGCCAAGGCAGCTTCGCAGACACTACCCATGGGGCGGGGGTAGGGGAAGGGAGGACTGGGCCATCTGCCCACCCTCCTCCTGTCTGTCTCCAGGGCTCAGTGGCCAGGCTATTTTGAGCCCTAATGCCTTCGGCTTTGGTGTAAAGTGGAGGCTCAGCCTGGGATCCTCGGGGCAGCTGGAGAATGTGAGATGCTGAGGTAGGCAGGTGGCTGGAGAGCCAGCTGACAGTCCAAGAAGAGTGCCGTCTCCCCTCCTAACTGTGCTGTGTAAGCCACACACATTCTTTCCCAGTGCCCTCCCTCTTTATTCCTCCCTCCTGGGGCCTCCAGGGCAGGCTGCGCAGGAATGTGAGGCAGGCTGACAAGCACTGCTCCTAGAGGGCCCAGGAGGGGCAGGAGTACCCTGAGCATTTCATGTTTCTTATCCCCACTAGCCTCAAACTCTTGAATCCCCCCACAGTTCCACCTGCCCTGGGATGGCTCTACCCCTCGGCTCCTCACAGAGTCTAGAGTGGAAATGCCCGTAGATGAGCTCTTTTAGCCTATGCTCTATGACTGACTCAAATCAATGGAATAGAATTGTGAGTCCAGAAATAAACCCTAACATTTTTTGTTAATCAATTTTCAACAGAAGGGCCAAGATAGTTCAATGGGGTAACAGTCTTTTCAACATATGGTGCTGGGACAACTGTGTATCCACACACAAAAGAATGAATTCAGGCCCCTACCTCACACTATATTAAAAAATAAAATAAAATTTAACTCAAAGTGAATCATAGACCTAAATGTAAGAGCTGAAACGGTAAAACTCTTAGAAGAGTCAGGAGTAAATCTTCATGACCTTGAGTTAGACAATGACTTCTTAGTTATGACACCAAAAGCACAAGCCGTAAAAGAGAAGATAAAAGATAAATTGGACTTTATCAAAATTAAAAATTTTTGTACTTCAAGGGACAGCATCAGGAAGGTAAAAAGACAACATGACTGATGTAATAGGTGTCACTCAAGTGTACATGTAAAAAATGTCTAACTGGAAAATGTGTTATATATATTTTTGCCACCAAAAATAAAACTGAAAAGACAACTCACGTACTGGGAGAAAATGTTTGCAAATCAATCATATATCTGATAAAGGATTTGTATCTAGAATATGCTTATTCATTGTCCAGCTTGAATGAATAAAGAAGACCAGAGAAGAATTGATCCGTCTGAATTATGGTGTTGGTGAAGAATATTGAATATACCATGGACTGCCAGAAGAACGAACAAATCTGTCATGGAAGAAGTGCAGCCAGAATGCTCCTTAGAGGCAAGGATGGCGAGAGTCCGTCTCACATACTTTGGACATGTTATCAGGAGGGAACAGTCCCTAGAGAAGGGACATCATGCTTGGTAAAGTAGAGGGTCAGTGAAAAAGAGGAAGACCCTCAATGAGATGGATTGACATGCTGGCTGCAACAGTGTACTCAAACATAGCGATGATTGTCAGGATGGTGCAGGACTGGGCAGTGTTTCGTTCTGTTGTATGTAGGGTCGCTATGATTCAGAACCAGCTCTACAGCACCTAACAACAACATCTAGAATATATAGAGAGCTCTTAGAACTCAATAATAAAAAGACAAATAACTCAATTTTAAAATGGGCAAGGAATTTGAATAGATATTTCTCCAAAGAAGATATATGAATCGCCAGTAAGCACATGAAAAGATGCTTACTGTCAGTCATTAGGGAAATGCAGATCAAAACTACAATCAGCTATCACTTCACACCCACCGAAAGGGCTATAATCTAAAAGACAATTACAATTGGTGAGGATGTGGAGAAGCTGGAGCCCCCATTCACTGCTGGTGGGAATGTAAAATGATGTGGCTGTTTTGGAAAGCAGTCTGGCAGTTCCTTAAAATGTTAACTATAGAGTTACCATAAACAAAAAACCAAACAGTAGAGTTGATTCTGACTCACGGCGACCCCATGTGTTGCAGAGTAGAACTGCTCCATAGGGTTTTTTGGCTATAATCTTAACTGATCCATTGCTCCTGTTTTTAAGGGACCTGCCTCTGCCCTTGGGATCCCAGTGGTTAAGCACTTGGCTGTTAACTGAAAGGTCGGCAATTCGAACCCACCAGCCGCTGTGCAGGAGAAAAATGTGGCAGTCTGCTTCTGTAAAGATTTACAGCTTTGGAAACCTATGGGGCAGTTCTACTTTGTCCTGTAGGGTCGCTATGAGTCAGAATCACTCAGCGGCAATGGGTTTGGTTTGGGGTTTGCCTCTACCGTTATCCCCTTCTTGTGGAATCCTGCACCTCGACATCTACTGAGTTAGTCTGTGCCTCTGTCATGAGGAACGCCCCTCATCCTGAGGTCCTGGAACCTTTGTGAGACAGGGTTCCCTTGACCCTGCTCAGCTTGGGGAGTGCCAGCCTTCACAGAGATAGGGGGCAATTCCATCATCAATTCCATCATCACTTTCAGGACCCCACTCTCTTGTCCTCTCTCCTTCATTGGAGGCCCTGAGTGGGACTGAGCCTCTTTCTGCCCCTGGGTAGAAGGGCCATTGGAGCTTAAAGCCTGCAGCAAGCCTCAGCCCCTCAGATCTGGGAGTGACCTGCCTACCTCTCCAGCTCCTCCACCTACCCAAGCCATGTCTAGGTTTGGGCTACTCCCTGGTGGCCAGACAGGGAAGAACCATTCCTCCTCACAGGAAAGGTAGGGTGAGGTCCTAGCTGGGCCAGGAGAGGCAGGGGCCTGGGTTGGCCGTGTGATCCCGGGGGTGTTCCAGGATGCATAGGCAGAGAGGCTGGCCAGGAGCAATATACGAGATGGGGAGCAGAGAGCGCAGCCAACTTTTTTCACACACATTAACTGAAAAAAGTAGTAAGTTGTGTACACATGGTAAAAGGAACAAACAGTACAAAAGGCCCTATTATAAAAGTATCACTTCCTCCCACCTCCAGAGTCCCCCTACCCAACCGGAGGCAACCACTGTTTACATAGGCTTTAAAAAAACAAAAAACACACAAGTGGGAGTGTATTATAACCACTGGTTTGACCTATTTTTCAAATTTAATATAGCTTGCAGAACATTCCAAATCAACACAAATACATCTTCCTCATTCTTTTTAACAAATGTTTGACATTTCATCCTAGAGATGCACCTTGATTTCTTCATCCAGCCCCTTACTGTCCTCAGAGTCTCCAGCCTGGTGGAGAACTTGACAAATGGGTTTATCTCCTGCCCCAGTGCACCCGCCCCCCAAGTGGTGTCCCTAACCTGCTACCCCTGCCAGCACCTCCCCACCACTCTGGATGAATTCAGACCCACAGGCACCCTGAGCCTGAAGGTAGATCTACAGCCTAATCCCCCAACCCACGTGTTTTCCTCAGATCAGAAGTGCTGGTAGAACTGACGGCCTACGGGGAGGAGAGTCTGACCAATCTCACCTGGAGGGGGACTGCCGTGGTGGTGGGGTCTGGGGGCCCACAGCTACAGGCTTTAGCCCCGTAACGGCACATCTCTCTGGGCAACTTTGAAACTGCTCCCTGGGAAAAACAACCTCTGGATTCTGGGAACAGACTGGGAGCAGGGGCCACACCTCCAGCAGCTGCAGGCAGGTGGTGGAGGAGCAGGGCAAGCTCAGTGGACTCCCATATTCTCTTTCAGTCCAGCCTCTGGATTCTCTGGACTAGACAACCCCCCTCTCACTCCTTCCCTATCCCCAAGCTTCTTTATTCAGACCTGGCAATCTGGAAGAATCTACACCTGCCTCCAAAAGCCCTTAGAATCCTTTTAGGAAGAGCAGTCTTTCTACAGACTGCTCCACACAGCCCCGCTTGGCCCCTCAGCCCACATGGGCAGCCTGAAAGTTGC